AAAGACAAAGCCTCTAAGTTGTACAAGTCTCTCCCTTTGCATCTCTTCAGTATACCTCATTACATATGTGAATGATGACATCATCTCTGCTTAAAAGTGGATCAGATTCCAGGAGATGGTAAAATGATCATACCTGTGTATGCTAGGATGCTTAGGGTACAAAGAACGTGGTATGATCTGATTGCTGATATTCTTTTAACCTTTAAAAACCAAGAAGGTTTATCAAAATAGGTAGGCTTTTTTTTAAACCATTATACCTTTACTAAATAAATGCCTTAGTTCTACTTGATTTTGCTTTTCCTCAAGGATGCTAATTACTACCATGTTGGATTTCCACTCTGTGCCATTCATTCCTATACTCACACTAACACCAACACACACACACACACACACCTCCTTTTATGTCACATTTACCTATTCAGATTTCCTAACCCTTTGTTAAAGCCACTTTAATATGTACTGCTCTTACTTGCTTAGTTTTGTTTCTTACCACTTGTAAAGAATTTAATTCCATTGTTTAGATTATATGCATACGGATACATGCATGTAATACACACATATACATGTTTCTGTAGATTGTCTTTGTTTCTACATTTCATACTAAAATGAATAATAAATTCCTTGAAACAGCAGCAGCTGACTTCACAGTTGAGTCAGAATGAATAGAAGATAAACCTGGTACCTTCTGTTGTGCCAAAAAGTTGCTAATTATTATTTTATTATTATTTGGAGCATCTTACAAGGACATAGAAGCATGCTTGAGGGATCTCCTTGCCACAATTTTATGCACAATTTGTGCATAAAAATAAGTAGTAAGTTATAAACTAACACAAAATGGGAATTTGTGAGCTCATACTGATAACAGTAAACTAATAGAGGGAGTGGGAAGGTTCTTGCTTAGGACCAACTGGGAATTCCTAATCTCAGTCTAATAAAAACAAACATCAGGCAAACAAGGAAAATTGAATTAAAACTCTGTGTGTGTGTGTGTATGTGCGTGTAGTAGGGCGTACTTGCATTAAATGACTCCTGTATCTACTTCCATCTTCAAAGACAGAATAAAAAGAAATCCTATGACTCCCATCTCTGTTCCTGTCCTCATCTCTGACTTGGATTCTCCTCATTCCCTACAAGGCCTTTTAGATTAGATAGGCCATCTTGGCTAATCCAGAATAATTAATATTTCTCAAGATCATTAATTAGATCTGCACTGTTTCTTTGCCTCATGAAATAACATCTTGACTTCTTCTAGTGATTATTAGGACCTAGAAGTCCTTGAAGGCCATTATTCCACCTACCAAAGGACTATTCCTAGAAAATATCAGTATCATAAAAAGTAATACTAGAGGTGGATATGATACTAAAGAAATAGGATGCTGAGAGTTGGTGGCTCATGCCTGTAATCCTTGCTTGTCAGGAGGCTGAGATCTAGGGATCACAGTTTGAAGCCAGATGGTTAGACTTTTATCTCCAATTGTTATGCACTTTCAGAATTGTCCTGTTACCTTTCCTTTCCCAAACACGGTGAGGAGTGTTTTTCTGTGGTGGGCACTTTAATGAGTGTAAGTAGTCAGGGGGATAGGTCAGTCAGGGTCTTTTTCCAGTCTAGTGAAGGAAAAGTCAATGGCGGTTGAACTTAGTAACATCATTTTTTCAGGAAGATCCTTCCTGTGTGTCAATAGTCTTGGGGCGGGGGGGAGGGGCGGTGCAGTGGGATAGATCCCTCACTCCTAGCAATGCCTCTGGCTCACACTGAAAGGCTCAACCTTTATTGTGAACTCACCAGCCATAAAAAAATGTCAGGTCACTAAGCAGCTGCTGCCTTTCAGGGTCAAATAGCTCACAATTAAGGCAGTAGAAAACCATTTTCTGCAAAAAGCATTTTGAGAGAATCCCTAATAATGAGGTCTTTTGATGTAGACTCACTAATGAAGCTGGGAAGGAAGAGAGGGGGAGGAAGGAGGAGGGGAGGAAGGAGGAGAGAAGAGGGAGGAAGGGCAAGGTCTTCTCGAGAGTCTTTTAATACTTCAACTTGCAAAACCCGTTTTGAACTTCCTAAGAGTGACTGGCTCATTAGTCCTTTTAGTTTGCCCTCTGGCTTCTAAGGAGCTAAAACATGGACAGGAGAGAGGAGAGGAGAATGTCTGAGCTCTCTATTCCAAACCGAATACATTTTGATGATTATTACAGTATGTCTTGTGGTTAGTATCAGTTCTCCAACTTCAGTCTTCTTTAAAATTATGTTAGTTTTGTTGGGTATTTTGCCTCTCTACAGAGACTTCAGAAACACTTTTTTGGTAAACACAAAATAATTTTGTTTGAATTTCATTGAATCTTTTGATCAAATTGGTAAGAAGTAACATCCTAACAATATTGAGTCTTCCTATCTGTGAACATGAATATTCTGCTTGCTATTTCTTTGGTTCTTTGATTTCGGTCACCAGATCTATGTAGTATTCCTCCAGTAAATTCTAATTTCATTAGATTTATATCTATGTACAGCATTCATCTGTGAATGACATTGTACTTTTAAGCCATGGGCAGAAGAACCTCTGTACCTCCCCTCTTTATAGAAACATGGTCCGGTATCCTCTCTGGTTACCCCTTTTTATCCTGAAAAACCAAACAAATGAACAAAAAAACCTGACAGAAAACAGTACCCAACCTGATCAGACTTAGAATGAACTGTCATAGATCAAGATGAGACATTAATAAGAAATATTTACCACCATTTGAGGGACTGTAGGATTTTAGGGTTGTTTTTTTGCCACAAAATGTCTCTACATGGCCATAAGTAGGTGTAAATGAGACAAGCAAATAGTACTAAAAGTATATAAAATTATTGCCTTTCTTCCTTTTCTTGGAACTCTAGGCTGAGAAGCAGAAAGAAGAAATACTTTATCCAAATGTCATAAAGAAATCATACTTAGGGATTCCTAAGGCATTCTTCCCCCTGAAGAACCAAAAGATATTAAGGCATGATAATAAAGGTCTCCTTCTCTCAGGAGGTCCAGGTAGGTGAATTCCTCCTGGTTTGAGGCCAGTCTGGTTACATAGTGAAGACCAGACCAGCCTCAGCTACATGGTGAGACTCTGTCTCAAAAACTAATACAACAAAACCAAAGCCCCCCAAAAGCCCTTATGTCTGAAATTTCTGGTGTGCAGTCTTGTGTTCATGTGGGAAATGTAGTTGATTGCAGTCGGTAAATGCACACCAGGAAGGAGACCAAATAGATCTGATGTTTTCCTCACAAGGTAGATACAAAATCATTGATTGACATGTGCTTTGGAAATTAAACTCATACACAATAAACTCTTCCCTCTAAGAGTTCTATACTTTATTCATGATAAAGAATTCATAGATTTAAAGTCATTCCTTAATTACAAACTTACTAGGTCTGTAGATTTGAGTTTAGATGATCAAGGTGGAATAGGGCTACAAGACACGAAACAACGTACAGACCACATGGAAAAACAGAAATGCTCAATAGTGTGGTAATCTAGAAATGACCTGACGCAGGAAGCCCTTGGCCCCTGACTTTAAATCTGTCTGCACAGAATGCAGCGAGTCTCAAAGCTAGTGTTTATGGAACTAAATGATACCAGGAGGTTGTTAAGCCTTGGGAGTTCATAGTTTTATGGTTTCTACTTGATAGGAAACAGCTGATGTTATTTTTTCCAAAAAAGTCTCAGAAAGTTTTCCCTTCTAGAACTTTGACTTTCTGAATAAGTGTCTAAACTTGTTAAATAAAGGTTATCAGTTCACCTCATATAAACTCACTACAGGTTAAAGAATAGGGGAAAAATTCTGGATGGGTCACATAACTTACTTTGCTGACAAAAGCACATTTTCTCCATTGATGACACACTGGGGTTAACGGAAGACACTAATCCTAAGTGTAATAATCTGCAAGTTCCATACTTTCCTATATTGCTATCAATAATCAAGGTCAGCTGAGGATCTACATGGTGCATATAACTGCATTTAAATCTACAAATAGGCAATGGTGCATTCAGTTTATGGGATGGAATAAACATCTGTCTGACATGTAAAAGAATCTCCTCTCTGAATGTCAGCTGCAGAGAATAATTTTAGATGCTTTAGATGCTATGCAGTTATCAAGTGACTTGATGGAAATCAAGATGGTTAGCAATTAAAAGAACATTCTAGTTCCTGTGTCCATGCCAAAGATAGAAAGGATTAGTCTGTGGGCTGTTTAGACAGTTTGTTTATAACTTGACCTCAAATTGGGTTGAAGGTGGCTAAGCAGCCAAAGTATAGAATCAATGGGAAACCCCTAAATTTCAGGGTGTTTATAAAACATAGATCTTGATCTAAGTGATACTGCCCATATTATTATTTATTTTCTAATTGATTGATCTCATCTATGATGGGAAAGTGTTAGGGTCAACACAGACTTACAGTCTTAAAACTTTATTTTTATTGTTTGTGCTGGACCTGGGGCTTGAACTCAGGGCCTATGCAATGTCCCTTAGCTCTTTTTGTTCAAGGCTAGCACTCTGCCACTTGAGCCACAGCTATACTTCCAGTTATGGAGATAAGATAAGAGTTTCACAGACTTTTCTGCCCCACTGGCTTTGAATCATGATCATCAGATCTCAGCCTCCTGAGTAGCTAGGATTACAAATGTAAGCCACTGTTGCCTGGCTTTAAAACTTAATTTTAAAAAAGGAAATCATTCAAAATGAAAAAAGGTTCTTTTCTATACTCCAGCTGAATAATTTTACCAGTACCTCTACCACATGTAACACAGAATTATAATAACTCAAACATAAACCAAAGTACAGAAAGAAGTCCTTTATCTTGGCCTAGACATAGTAAATGTTGACATAACAGAAAATGAAACCCATCTAGATGTGTTTTGCACGAAATCTGTATTTAGTGATTTAGGGGACAATTTTCAGTATTCAAATTCAATAATGGAATGAACAAAGAAGTTTAATGATGCTATTTTAATAATTCATAGAAAGCACATATGTACACCCAATGAAGTCATCTTTATTGCATATTGCTATTTTCTTTTAAAAAATGTACAGTCTCATAACACATCTTTTTTTTTTCTCTTGGTACTATACCAATAGTCTTGCACCTAAAGACTAAGTGGTTCCAGCTACTAAGCTAAGAAGATAACAAGACATATAATTAAGTTTACAAATTATAATGCATTTTCTTTTTGGCATTAATTTAAAAAACAAACAAACAAACAAATTTAAAATACACACCCAAGAGAGAAAAGTGGCTACTTACACCAGCACCAGTCTAAAAAGTAGTTTATAATTTTGTTTTCCTCCAACAATGGCACATGGAATTACCTGCACACAGTTTTCAGGGACAGAACCAAAAGTGGAAATGGCAAAAGAGGCCTACCAGGACGGCCGTATCAAAATGACGGTGATTAAAAAAGGGCAAGAGGGACATATGACACAAACTTGCTCCTTATTGTGACTCTCCTTCCACTGGTCCATTCCTTATGCTGTAAGACAAAGTCATTTTCAAAATACAGTTCCAAAATGGAGCCAGACCAAATTTCTCCTGCTATAAATAGAAAAGAATATATATAGAGGCACTTTAGTTCAGGAACAGAGAAAACCATCATTCTATCCCAGTCTTTCTCCTCTCCAGTCCTGTTTTGGAACCAAGTCTCCATCTGCACCTGAACAAGGTGAAGATGCAGACTTTGGTTCACTCGGGGTTGGGAGAGTATCACCTCTGCTTTGTATTTATAACTACTTTATTTGCAAGAGTCCTTTACTTCTATATAATGAATAGAAAGTCGCTAAGTTTGCAACGAGGGGAAACAAATGTAAAAACCACAGCTCTTGACAACTCTTAGAGCACGATTTCACAGCTTTCACACAGCACAGATACCCTGCCATCTGTACCACGCATTAGAGTTTATACAAATTACTTCTAAATATGAAGATTCCTGTATAGCACAAACATTGATATTACTCTATTCATACCTGAAAAACCCCATCAGAATGAAAGCTCCTTGGGGGACAGGAAGTCTTGTCTTGCTTACCACTGTAGCTCTACTGTACCTGGTACACAGTAGATTCTTAATAAATATGAATTGATTGAGAAACTCAATTTAGTGAGTAAATAATGTTTGAGTGCAACAGGAAAAACTACTCTCTCCACAGGAAACCCAACCACAACAGTATAGATGGAAAGAGAAGAGAAAAATGATAGCCCCTCCCCCCAACTACAAATAAATAAAGCCAAAGGAAAAAAAAAAGTAACAGTCCTCTTTATATATCATATAATTTAAGGATATTAGGAGTTGGTAGGTTAATGGTAAGTATCTATATCTTTATTTTCTAATGTTCATTGTTTTTATTCATTTTTCCCTGAGAGCTTTATTTTTTTTTTTTTTTGGACTGAAAATTTACAGGTAGCTTTACTGACACACAATTTAAAATGACAACATAGAACAGCAAGCAAACCACTTCAATATTCTTTGAGATAAATAGATGTAGGCATCTCTGAGGACATGGTTGACACTTTGTGTACATTCTTGAGTGTCTTTTTCAGTCCAGACCTGTATTTACAGAAGATTCAGCTTGTCCTATAAAACTGAAAATAGAAAAAAAAAAAGGCACCCCATAAAAAAAATCTTAATTAAAAAAAATAATATTTATCCCTTCAGGGAATCTTTCCTCTAAGTCTTGGGTGGGGAATCTTATTTTGAAGATCTATATATCTATATTGTTAGCGCCAACAAGCACATTCTGGCATAGGTTGCATTTAGAAAGTGCCTTGTTTTCTTTTTCCTAAATTGTTTTTCTTTCCAAAAGCAATTTAAAGAAATCATCAAGAGCACTTGGCAGAAAACTTGATGAAATTAGGGTGAACAAATTGATGTTCAAATTTTAACTATATAAAAGAATTCTGATTGACATTCTACATAATACAAGTCGTGTGCAAGATGTTCTCAATAAACATTTACGGACACTACCCCTACATCAACCTCAGGGATGCTCAGCTTGTCCTGTTAATTTAATTAATGTGATGTCCCGAGCATCACACTGTTGGCCATTTAAGACCATTTTAAATCTATAATTTTCCAACTCCATTTTCATTGATAAAAATAATTTTGAACTATACCAAGCTTGGGAAATCATAAAATATTTCACAAGCCTTTGTTTTTTTTTTCTATCCTTTTTTCTCCCTCTCCCCCCATTTTTGTAAGCTAGGGAATGTCTGTTTATCTCTTTTAGGAGATAGTATTGTGCTTCTGAACAAATATGGTGTTCAGGGAAAGAAAATGAGCCACACTCAATATGAATGAATACATGAAAGGTTTGTGAGCACATACATTAACATAAACATTTTAACCATACATATAGGTCTCTAGACGACACTCAGACTTCTATATACATTTTATATATATATATATATATATATATATGTACACATACATTTACATCCACACACATTCACACGTTCACTCACAGACGAGGGAAGAAATTGCCACTGTTTGGATTGCAAGGCAGTGTAATGAAACAGTCTAGTCACTTCAAAGGGCTGCTACTGAGCTTTCCAGGAAAGGATTTTAAGGAAAATTAAAAATTCAGTTTCGTGATTGGTCTTTCTCTGCTGCTGTCCGTCACCTGGTTGGAAATGCGTTTCCGGTTCCGTTTCAGTTTAGAAAGGTCTTTGTCAAACACTTCTCCTGAGCGCAAAGCTGAAACAAGGTCATCAAACTCTCCGCTTTCCTCACTGTTCTCTTTTGCTTTTCTCATTCTCCTTTCCCGTTCCCGTTGCTCTTTGAGCTGCAAATAGAAAAGGAACCTCTGAGACAAGGGTTAAAATGCTGTGCTTGTCTTCCATGGAGAAGACTTGTGAGACATATGATAATGACTCATTCACGCTAAAGTATGTTCACCTAGGGCTGCTAACTTCTTCAGATGACACAAAAAAGGGGTAACTGGGCAAGGACCCTCATTGTCACTTGGTAAATCTAGTTATATTCTCATTGGAAAAAAAAAGAACAATTGAGGCAATTTATGTTTCTTTAAGAGATAAAACAAAGTATGGCTAAGAGAGATTAAATGGTCATTAGGCCACTCCCTTGATATCAAAGGCTTACCCAGGCCTGAACAGCAAAATAATGCACATACATTAGGGAAAACTGACAATTCAGATAAAAAGGGGGGGAAATCCTTAATTCTAGTATCAAGAGATGACCATTTTGAAGCTTTGTTGATTTATCCACTACTACTATTATTTTTCTCACTAATTTTTTTAGCAAACTTTCACACAGAAATCAATTTTATAAATTTTGACGAATGACTAAATATTCTAAGACCTGTCTTTTGACAACCAAATGAATATCCTATTGTGCAGCGATTACATTATTTAGAACTGTTATTTTCAAGATTGGTTTTAATAAAAAAAATGCTGCTGGCTTTGTGCAAATGTGTAATTAGTTCTGTAGAATAACTTCTAAGAAATGGAGCTCTAGATCAAAAGGTCATGGATTATATCTGTCAAGTCTTCAGAGACACACTGTCAAATTACCCAAGAGAAACATGATGCTAATTTAAACTCACAGCAACATTCTAGAAAGCATGGCTGTGTCCTCTTTTTGCCAGCACGTAAGAGTGCTGTCACTGGGGCTGGGGCTTTAGCTCAGTGATAGGACGTTTTGGCTAGCATGCTCAAGGCCTTGGGTTTAATTCCTAGCATCACCAAAAGGGAAAGACAAAAGCAGAAGCAAAGCCTTGGGGTCCTGTCCGGATAGCTGCAAAGGCAGAACTCCCCCGAGACTGTGTCTCACCTGTGCTTCCATGCGGGCCCGCCGCTCCTCCTCCTCCTTCTTCCTTCTCATGTTCTCATTCTCTTGTTTGGCTTCTGACACAGCTTGAAGAAACTGGTCAAAAATGCCAAAGAACTCATCTGGCTGTATTTTGCCAGCCTCCTCCCCAAAGTGCTTCACTGCTTTAGTAAACTAGAAAAAAAAGATTTTAAGAAGTTCAATGTTCTGAGAGAATTTGAACGAAATTCTTTCTAGAAGGACTAAAGCTCAAATGTAGTCAAGTATAACTTGACGGATTTTACTGAACCTATATTTATCTTCAGCTGCTGAAAACATCTATCAATCATTTCTAAAGTAAGAATTTTAATATTCATCCACTTTTAAGACCATTTATTGCTGTCTACTTTGTTTCAGCTTAACATCTATGATTACCTCCTATGGCTTTTTATTAACGAAACAATAGTAAAAACAAGAAAGCAAGTATCATAGAGCAGAACACCCAACACACAAAAACTAATAGCAAACTCAGCAGGGGGAGGAAACCTTGTACTTTTAACTTTGCTTTGAAGTAGTTTGACATCGTTTATTGGTGCCATATGGTAAATATCAAAAGCAAATGGGATTCAGTCCTTTTTTAGCCTCTTAATCATAAGGATTGTTCTATTTCTCAGGCCCTAATTAGAAAACAATAAGTAGTTATGGAATCATTACTGCAATCCAAAATTTTGACTGACCGTTTCTGTGTTTCAGAAACCCTTTCAATACCTACCTAAAATATAAAGTATATGATATACCCAATCTATTGTGTGTGTGTGCGTGCGTGTGTGTGATATGTGTGATGTTTGTGCCAATCCTGGAGCTTGAACTCAGGGCCTAGATGATGTCCTTGAACTTCTTTTGCTCAAGGCTAGCACTCTACCCCATGAGCCATGGCACCACTTTTCAGTAGTTAATTGGAGATAAGAATCTTATAGTTTTTCCTGCTCAGGCTTGCTTCTAAATGTGATGCTCAGATCTCAGCCTCCTGAATAGCTAGGATTACAGGTGTGAGCCTTGGTTGGTTGGTTGGCTCTCCCTCTCTCTCTCTCTTCCTCTTTCTCTCTCTCTCAAGTTGTGTTTTGGCTGGGAAAATTGAAGGGAGGGGCTGGTTTCAGAAGGATGGGAAAAAATTATGAAAGGTAATGTCAATCAAGATGTATTGTATTTATAAACTGAATGGTGATCCCCTTTGTACAACTAAAGGTAATAAAAATATAATTAACAACAAGTCAAGATAGCACGTATTCAATCATATGTGACTACCCAAACAATGATCAGTGTTGATCAGGTAGTGGTCAGCATTAATCTTCCTTTCTAATGCTGTTACTCCTCAACGATGTATCACTAGATTCAGAGTCAACTACTAAACATTTTCCAGACTTATTTTCTTCATATTTAGGCCATGACAAAGTCTCATATTCCTCCTTCAACACCATAACTTCTAACTGATTTTTATCTTACACTGCTTTCATTTATTATGTGGTTAAGTTGTTCTGATAGTTCAGTAGTACGATATATTTTAAATAATATTTTCTATATTCATTAATACAATAATTTTGAGCCAGTTGTCAGTAGCTCATGCTTGTAATCCTACCTGGAAGACTGAGAGATAGGGGGGATTATGGTTCAAGGCCGGTCTGGGCAGAAAAGTTTGTAAGGTCCTTTGTTAACCAACAGCTGGACCTAGGGGCATATGCTTGTCATTCCAGTTACTGGGAAGCTGAAATAGGTGGAACTCAGTCCAAGTGTGCTTCTGGGCAGGAAATTAAGCCTCTATCTCAAAAATAATCAGAGCAAAGCACAGCTGAAGGTATGCCTAGCAACAGAGCACCTGCCTAACAAAATCAAGACCCTGAGCTCAGTTCTACTTTCACCAAAGAAGAAAAAAAAAGGGGGGCAGGGGGGCTGAGAAGGTGGCTCAGTGGTAGAGTGCTTGCCTCGCATGCATGAGGCCCTGGGTTCGATTCCTCAGTACCACATGAGAAAAAAGAGAAAAGCTGGAAGTGGCACTGTGGCTCAAGTGGTAGAGCGCTAGCCTTGAGCTGAAGAGCTGAAGTGCCAGGCCCAGAGTTCAGGCCCACAACCGGACCCAAAAAAAGAAAAAAAATGACATAATGTGTGTGAAGGATATTTTATAATTGTTAGTTCATATTTTAAAGATTATAGTAAAAAGGTTACTGTCATTTTTCTCTTAGTAAAAAGGTTACTGTCATTTTTCTCTTAGTATGGAGTTGTTCTCAATGCTACACATACTTGGAAATCTTCTTTTACAAAAGAGAATTCTTTAGAAAAGAACAGAACATTTTTCACACACCACATTATAGTCTTCAAGCCTGCTCCATGCTTTTATGAGCTAATTTCTAAAAGTTCTGGTATGAACAAAATAGCAATAAACAGTCTACAACTGAATTTCTAAAATATACAAGTTCATGCACTTCAAACCATCCCAAATGATCTTTTTATCTAGGAATCCTAGTGATGATGAAGTCATGTATATTTTAGTCTTGGAAATTTGCTGAAAACGAGTGCCAGATTAAAGTTCTCACACAAAATATACAAAAAGTAGATTTTATATATGTCTGTTTAAATGACAAATAACTGCTCAGTGGAATCCTTAAAAATATCTGCGCTCCACGGTGAGATAGTTACTGGGGGTGGGGAAATCCACATAGGGAAGATCTCTTCTTTGCAAAGTGATGGGGCCTCCCAAAGACATGGATGGGGCATGCAGGGTACATGTTTGGACTATGGCTGTTGAAATCGCTCGACTGATATCTCTTGTGGGATTTCAGAGGCTGGACCTCTACTGGTGGTCATTTGGACATATATTGCCTATCATTTGTTTAGTAAGGCTGGAGAGGGAGTTTCATATTGAGATTAGCTAATGCTAACACAGTCTACTTCTGTAGACTTAAACTAGTGTGTGCATAGTTTTACATGACTATAACTGAACTATGTATGTAACTATAACAGGCAACACAGAAATAATGATATTAATTACTCAATTTTGGAAAAAGACAAGAACAGTGTGATAGCAATTTGGAGATGGAGATTGTGAAAGAATTCAGTGGGGCAGGGTACAGGCTTCATAGTATTTATAAACAGAAGGGAAGGAGAGAGAATGCTTGCATATATATATATATATATACATGCATATATATATATATGAAATATATATGAAAGAAGATGTAACAAAAGAAGAGAGTGTTTAAAACCTCAGTCATCTGACAGCAAAAACTTTTCCTTCCAAGGAAAATGAAGTTTTAAATAGCAAAATTTGTAAAACAAACAAAAAGAAATCTCTTACTAAAAAACAGACCATTTTTAAAGAGGCTGTGAAGTAAAATGTATGTCATTTAATAACTTTTGCTGGAGATTTACAGAGCTACTATCCTGATTCCCTAAGGCTCTGTCTCAGCCAAGCATATTACATATGTGGTCTTATCACACCTTCTGGCTTTTGTAATCTACTGAAGTTCCTTGAGATGAACACTTCAACCCAATAGTAACTAAAGAGAAACTTCATGGTCTTATTAACAGTCCAGTTAGACAACAAGAGTGTTTTGATTAATCACAGTCCTTTCATGGGTGAATATATAATTATGGTGTATAAAGTAACAATTTAGAAAACAATTATATGCAACTTTATTTCCTGACTATGATGTTTGGATCCCATTCCTGCCATTTTCTGAAGAGTATAATATTGGCTCCAAATGGAAAGTATCAAATAAAAACCCAGCCTACTCAAACAATAGTGTTAGGGGAAATTTACCAAGTCTTTAGCTTCTGCTAGAAGGTCTTCAACATCAGAGAAGCTGAAGCTGGCAACAGTGATGAACTGGCTCACAACAGATACAAACTTATCTCCGGGCTGTGGGGGCTGAGACTTCTGATACTCTAATTCCTGAAACACAGGAAATGGTTAATGGCAGTGTAGGCTTCAAATACAGGCACACGGTGTCTCATTCCATAGGCTCAAATAGAATCATTCAGATGGCAAACATATCTAAAACATCTCTAGCAAGAGCCATGCTCACAGGTACAACATATCTGAACATAGCAAGTCAACTAATTATCTGAGTAAATATGACTTCTCATTCCAGCTTTAGAAGGTAAGCAAATTAACATTTGGCTAAAATTAATAGAAGTCAAATAAACAGGAGGAAACTGGATTGAAAGAATTTGTGAGTAAAAGACGTTGATGGTATATATTCTGATCTCAGAATTTTGGTGTTTTGAATTTTTTTTTCCCCATCTCTGCTAAGTCTATGGGCATCCCAAATCACGGATTTCAACTACAGCATTTGTCCAGCACAATCACCTACTCTTTTTCTTCTTGCCCATGCCCATACGTTTTGGTGACTAGATAGGTAGTAGAATTCATTTCTTATTAATGTCTCATAATTTCCATGGTGATGACACACATAGTTCAAGTCAAAATTCAATAATTATTTTCAACTTTTGCCAATGTACTTTCTGATTCAACATTTAACACCTCTGACTGAAGCATCACTATCTCCATGGCACAGACATAGATGAGGGTTAGAGAGATTGAATTTCTTCACCCAAAGATTTCTGGAAGCTCAGTAAGTGATAGAGGCAGAATCTAAACTCATGTCTGCCTACCTGCAGAATATCAGTAAAAATTATGCACTGTACCACCTGACTTCAACGGATCACCTCATTTTCCTCTACACATGCTTTGGCAAACATAACTAATGAGCCGGAGTATAGCAGTCACAGATTGTGGCTTCTGACCCAGATCTACTGCTGATTTGTTTTTTAGTCCCTGGTAAATCAGTCTGGGCCTTCACGTCCTCACATTTGTAAAGGAGATCAACATTCACATCACTATGACAATCGAATTAACACAGATGAAAACTCCTATTAATGAAGTTGGCTCTGATGAGAAGAAATTGCCCACTTCTAACATTTATAAAATGAGTGTTTGTGTGGTTTGGATGCAGGGAGAGGAAAGTTATTTTACAGTGCTTCTTGAAGGTATCATTTCATAAGAATTCTCTTTTTGATATTTCATTCCATATAATCAATTTGGGCAAAGCACAATTACAACACATATATATTTGTACAGACCAAGCTTTGTCTCCCATTAATTTCTTACAAGGCTTGTGTGTGTGTGTGTGTGTGTGTGTGTGCCCGCGCGCGCGCGGCCTGGGGCTTGAACTCAGGACGCTATCCCTCAGCTACTTCTGCTCAAAGCTAGTGCCACTTCTGTTTTTTTTTTTCTAAGTAGTTTATTGGAGATAAGGGTCCCATATACTTTCCTACCTGAGCTGGCTTCAAACTGTGATCCTCAGGCCTCAGTCTCCTGAGTAGCTAGGATCACACATGTTAGCCACCGGTGCCAAGCTTGTTTTATGAAGGTAGTATTCGGGCTTGCACTCAAGGCCTTGGACTCACTTGACTTGCATGCTCATGGCTGATGCTCTACCAACCTGGCTTTTCACTTATTGATGGAGATGGAATCTTTTGGATATTCTACCTTGGCTGGCTTTGAACTGTGGACTTCTGGTTCTCAAACTCCTGAGTAGTTAGGATTATAAGCATGAGCCCCTGATACCCAGCTTACAGTGATGTATCTTGATGTATCATGTCAGCTGCTGGGGGATTGGGAGGAGGAAAAGCATTTTTGTAGGCTTTTCTCTGATGAAAAGCATGCATGATACAGAAGCACATTTTATGACCCAGCAAAACTACTCTTTAATAAACCAAAAATACAAGATGTCTTAGAACATGGGCCTCCCAGGCCCTGTCTGGCCTTGATCTGAGCTGACTCAGATGGAGGGGTCAGAGTATCCATTACTAGGCTTAGAGATGTCACAATCCCCATGCTAGTGTGAAAGGAGCTACCCTGGGAAACAGGAGGTAGTGGAGGCTACCAATCCGGCCTTGTCCAAAGTGCCCTGGTCCAGCCTGGGTTCTCTGAGAGCTGTGGAGGAACATACAGGTGTTCTAGGCCTCTACGTCCACTAGGGCTGGGAGAAAGAGAATTTATACAGTGACTTCCTCGCCTATCCGGCCAGTGTCCCAGGCGAAAAAATAACCTTCACATGCTCCTAAATGTATAAGACACTGGGATTTAAATTTCATTACGAATATGTCTTTAAAGAAGAAGGACGTGTCTCTGGTCCTACTGATACATGCTCTGTGAGGACAAACTGCCTGAGCATTAGGCTCCTCCACCAAGCTCACCGCAAAGCTAAGCCTCCATTCCCAAGCAAGGCTGCCCACCATTTCTGTGCCTGCCGGATGTGGCTCATTCCTGGCCCTCCTCTCCCCGGTCACAGCGTTCCTGAAGTCCCCAAGGGCACCGCGTGGCACAGTTGTGCTTCATTACTCCGGCCCCTCTATCTGTACTCATCAGGGGCCACCCTCTTTCCCGGGCACCTAAGTTTGTCCCATTTTACTTCCAAGTTCTTCTCCAGAAGAGGTGCTGCCTCTTGGACATGCCCGTCATTCCAAAACCTCCAGGCCACCCTTCTTCAAGGCATCTCTGTAATCACTGTGCTGATTTTCACACGGCCATGCTGAAGATCTGGCTACTCCTGACTATTTCAAAACTGAAGGCCAACGAGTCTGAATTACCGTGACCCACTCTTCTGGAGCATAGCTTGGGTATCCCAGTGCTTGCTGGTAAATTGTCCTCAAAAGACTGACTCAAAGGCAGCAGAGAAATTTACTTTAGTGAAAGTAAAACAAACATTAGTACACCGAAGATACTGAGGGGGTTCTTGAGAACTAGGAAGCCCCACCCACTCACTGAAACCAGGTCTGACGCCCAGGTAAACAGATCTAGCTCCCACTCTGGATGCAATGACCCATGCATGATGTCTGGCAGCCTGCAACTGAGTTGCCAGGCTAAACACAACATGCCCTTGCATATTGGTGGTTGGTTTTTTTTTTGAATCAACAGATGTCTGACCACATGCCAAAGTGACCAGTGACTCATGGCTAGAAGTTACCAGTACTAGAGATAGTGAAGAGACTAGGAATTAGAATAGGAAGCCAATACTCACTGTCTCCACTGCTTTCAAGCCACTTCTCAAGGTACTTATTTCTTTGTCCAGCTCAGTCATGCTGTTGTAAATAGCAACATGTTAGCACATCAGCATATGACTTACATGCATTAAAATACATGATAGTTTTAAATAGTTCATGCTTGGAAGTCTATACAGTTTTGTGTGTGTGTGTGTGAGAGTCCTGGGCCATACACTCGGGGGCCATGCTTTATTTGCTCAAGGCTAGTGCTCTACTACTTCAGCTAAAGCTCTACTTCCAGCTTTTTGGTGGTTAATAGATCAGTCTCATGGACTTTCTTGCCCAAGCTGGCTTCAAATGGTAATCCTCAGATCTTAGCCTCCTAAGTACTTAAGAGTACAGGTGTGATCTAACTGGCTGGCAGTTAACTTTAAAGGTTAAAAAAAAATCTTCCCCATGCTCAGAAATCAGACAGCTATGGCATTTTAAAATCATGGAATTTAGGTTTAGAATTACGTTTTTTTCCCCCCCACAGTCAATAGGTATATTTTCCAGCTTAAAAACAACAGAAATGTCTCCCATGTGTACAAGTATTTTGTTTCAATCTCATATAAACTTCACCTCAGTAAGTTACTATATATAGAAATACATTTCTTGTCCTACGTGGTTCTCTGAGAAAGTAAACAAACAAACAAAAAAAAGAGCTGATCTATAATCACATTCACATAGCACTCTTCCTAACCAGTGTATTGCTTTTTACGCAGACTCTAATATATATGAATATTACAAAGTAAGAAGTCATTACTTTGAATCATCAACCATTTTTCTTAACGTTGAACAAACAAGTCTTGGCTGTATAGCATTACAGATTAAAACATAGTTCTCACAGATAGATCATAACATATAAAGAACTTTTGTGCTGGTGGCTCATTCTTGTAATCCTAGCTACTCAGGAGGCTGAGATCTGAGGATCACGGTTTGAAACCAGTCCCAGTAGGAAAGTCTGTGAGACTCTTATCTACAATAGACAACTCAAAAACCGGAAGTGGATCTGTGGCTCAAAGTTTTAGAGTGCTAGCCTTGAGTGAAAAAGCTCAGGGTCAGTACCCAAGCCCTGAGTTCAAGCCCCATGACTATTCCCTCCTCATCCTACCCCCCCAAAAAGAAAGAAAAATAATATATAAAGAAACTCACCAGTTTCTTTATTTCAGTTAGTTTATTTTTTTTGGGTCCGGTCGTGGGGCCTGAACTCTGGGCCTGGGCGCTGTCCCTCAGCTCTTCAGCTCAAGGCTAGTGCTCTACCACTTGAGCCACAGCTCCACTTCCGGCTTTTTTCTTTTTGCTTATGTGGTGCTGGGAATCGAACCCAGGGCCTCAGGCATGTAAGACAAGCACTCTACCACTGAGCCACCTTCCCAGCCCCTAGTTAGTTTATTTTTTTAATGCAGCACTGGGCTTGAGCTCAAGTCTAGCACTCTACTACTGAAGCCACAGTTCCACTTTTGGCTTTTTGATGGGTAAATAGAAATAAGAGTCTCATGGACTTTCCTGCCTGGCCTGGCTTTGCCCCATGATCCTCATATCTCAGCTACCTGAATAGCTAGGATTTATTATAGGCATAAGCCATCTGTGCCTGGATCTTTTAACTTCACATTTTTCATTGTAGATTTCTACTAAATTCTACAGAGGGAAACATTAGCTGCTCATCATACTTTTCACCCTTACTGCAAAAAGCTTACATACATTCATAATATATACATACATTCATTCATATACACAAAGACTGTCAAAGGAGGAGGAGAAGACCAGCAAGGAAAAGTGCCTGTTCCCTAGTCCTGAAATGCAGTGTTAAGTCTGTGGTAAAAGTTTGGCAACTTTCCATTTTATTTTTAGTTTCTTAATTTGCATAAGGACTGCTTTTCATTAAAGGGTTGCCTTGGTTTTAGGGAGAGTGTGCACATGTGGAAATTATAAGCAACATTTTATATTTAAACCTTGTATTTATTTTCTTAACCATGTATCCTCACTTAACTCAAGGTGCTCTTTTCTACCTGTGTTTGATAGAATTCAAAAGCATTAATGGGACAACTTTCCTTTCCTAGTCTCTTAATAACTCAGAACACATTAGGTTTTGTGAAAGTTGCATGTAGTAGTAAGAATTCTAAAGGAATACAAATACATTCAAAACCGTGTAACACATTTAAATGACTGCGATGTAATTCACACTTTATTTCATATAATGTTCAGAGGAAAACCAATCGAAGGACCCACTTTATGCACTGCACTTCATAAAATGCCAGCTAACAACTTCAACAGCTAACCTCTAGTTCAAGTGATCTGACAAACTCAAACAATTCACGGTGAGTACTTACTTTACTTTTGCTGCTTGAGGAATATCCCTCAATTCTTCATTTAGGTTGAGAACCTTGGGGTATTTATTTTCCACGATGGTGATAAGATAGTGCAATAGGGTAATGTTCCTATAAAGTAGAAGGGAAAAATATTCAACCTGAGCAATCTGAAAGCACCTAACAAGCAGACCCAGGTGGAATAGGAAAGGAGTGAGGTATGTTTAACCCCCTAAGGGAGAAGCTATTTTCAAACCTAAAAGTAGTTGCAATGCTTTTCAAATCTAAAAGTGCTTAAAATACTTTTCAAGTTGAAAAAGCAACTCACTGATGACAAGTATTGATAGTTCTTGAAGATGAATCTGAAGGGTGGGCAGAAAGCAGAAGGTCCCATACTTCAGGGCTGACGCTGGAACTGAGCCATACCTGAACCAGTATGTATATGGTGTGCTTGCAGCTGTGAATAAACTTCTAATTTTAGGAACACTTCAGCTCTTAACTTCATGACCCTTCGCAGTTACAACAGTTGGCTGTGCTACTCCCTCTCGGGTGGTGACAGGGCTGAACCCTGACTGACCTGGCTTGGAAAGTGGGGGTGTCTGATAATACCATCAGGCAAAGCTGTGTTAGTCTAGTCTTGTTGTCACCATCTCAGCCGCAGAATGTAATCACCTGGACTCCAGATGCCTGAACCAGCCCCTGAGATTCATGTAAGTGGAATGGGGTGCGGCGGGGGTACTTGTTAAAATTTCCTGGTGATTCAGACATTCAGCCACAGGTCAACAACTACTAATCTATTAAACTTACCCAAATCAGAAGATACAAATGTGTTTGTCAAAAAAAAAATTCCGTAATTTAGGAAGTATGCTACAAGGTTAAACTATAAGACAAAAAAATTTTCCTTTTTCTTCTCAATAATTAGAACATGATAGCCTAGCAAAGAAAATCAGTGGGCAATATGTATGTTCCTCTGCGTTCAGTTCCACCCTTCCATTTCGAATTTTGCTATTCACAGAACCTTTCTGTCTTTCCACATCTTACCTAAAGGGTAGAGGGAAGGAACAAAATACCAGCTATCATCATAAGAAATTGCCTCAAAAATCTTATTTCCTTTGTCATTTTAGAGAAACGCTTTGCTGTTCAGAGAGAATTCCACTAACTTAACTATATGTGCCTTTCTTACTGTACAAAGGCTTCAAGCCAGGTCAGCCACTGCACATTTGTTTGCTATCCAAATAACACCTCATTTGGCTAAACACAAATTCTTGAAGAATGAACAACTGAATGCCACATATTTGGTTGGTTCTGTCCCTGGTGGTTACCAGGAACTTGCATCTTCTTGCTGAGTGAAAGCCCTTTTTTGCTGACTAATCCACCATTTATGCAGTCTGATTGAACAAGGGTTGCGTGAATGATGAGGTATTGGGAAGGCACTCAGCTAGGCACTGTGGGTTTATATGCATTTGAGGACCCAACATTCTCAGGAAGAAATGAAGAGGGAAAAGAAAGATCAGAAATAGTTTAGATTTACTCTTTTGGAGAAGTACTGAGGTCTGCAGTGACCTCAATAAGTAGATAATCACGTGAATACCAGGTTATCACTATAGGGAGCAGGGATTTACCTTTGTGTTTGTGTACTGCAGATGAAGCTAAAGAGGACATACTCTCTTTAAAATGGGGCTGTTCTTTATATGCAAAGAAGAGGCTGAAGTCCCATTACAACCTCTAGATAAAATCCACTGTTGGCAGGTGTAGCTGTGAACTGGCCAACAGAACAGGTGTTAATATACCTATGAGGCCAAATGCTTTGCTTGTGACCTTAGAGGAGCTAAATGAGCGAGTTACTTAACAGTGTCTCAGTTTCCTTCTGTGACAACAGGTGATAATAGACTTGGCTTGTGTCCTTCACAAGCTGCTGTGACAATCAAATGTAGAGGTGCTCTGCATGTCAAGGCTCAAGTTCAAGGGCTTGCATTAAAAGTATGATGGTGAGCCTATACAGCTGCTCTGCATCACTCTTCCTTTCCAGGGAGCAAAACTAACGGCTCAGCACATCGCTCATTTCTTCTAACCCTGTAGAAAATACAGGGTTACACAGCCTCATTAGCTAGGAATAATTAGAGTGAACTTCCAGAAGGAATTTAGGTGCAGAGAAGTTTACCTTAGAAACAACTGCACAAGTTCTTTGGAAGCCAGTGAGAAGCCTGGGAAAATAAAGCTCCCAGGGAAACCAGGGTCAGCATGCCTCGTGACCCTACCTGTTAACGACATGGGAGCATTTTCACATTCTTCGACATGGGAGCATTTTCACATTCTTACCAGAATCTTTTCACCTAAGCTCTACTTTGTACACTTTCTAGGAAGCATTTTAATGAGTCTTAAAGTGAATAGCTGAATACCAACTGCCAAATGCAAGGATCTAGGTGTTAGCTCTAACGTGTGAAGAAAAAGGAAATCTAAAAACCTAGCAAGCTTAACACTGAGGCATCAGTTCAGTTTTTCCTTGTCTTTTGAGCACAGTTCTCTACAGAAAGGAAGTGACTAGGAGGTTGCTGAGGAAACTTCCAGAGAGCTGGTTCTTGATCTTGGTCATACAAGAGGGAGTTTAACTTGTCAACATTTCTCAATCTGTACATTTATGGTTAATGGCTTCACTTTGGGATATTTTACGATAAAAGCTTACTTCTTTCCCCGCCTCTACTCCCCACCCCAAAGAAAACCTCACAAAGGCAGGACCAATAAAAGAAAACTTGAAATAGATGGTATCCTTATGCATTTAAAATGGGAAATAGCTACAGGGGCCTTGTGGATAACTGTGGTGGTGACAGAGGAAAGAAGAGTCGGTGTAGGAGTGTACTAAGACAGAAAGCTAAGTTCAGCCCAGAGACTGCAGTGTTATGGAGGCTGAGGGGTGAGTGAGGGGAAGAGGGACAAGTCAAGCTCATATGAGCAGCAGATGCTCTAAGAGTTGGAAGATCCCACACTTACTTGTCAATACTAGATTTTGTGTCTGCAATCTTGTTGAGGCTGGAGATCTTGAATCCATAGGCATTGCCTCTTTGGCCTTTATTCATGTAATTTCCAAATGCCAAAACCACCTCTAACAACTGTTTGAGAGCACCACTCCTAAATACTTCCTCTGAGCCGGAACGAATTGCTTCAAAGCAAAACATACAAAAACATTACTATTATGACCAAGAATTTCAGTGATGCCCATCCTAAATTCAAGTATCTCACAGCTATTGGAGATATGATTGGGTCATTACACTTCCATACAGCACTTTTCAAAACACCAAAAGTATATGCCTTTAGTTTAGGTGTTTGTGGTTGAAGATTTCACAGATGTTGGCAGATTCCTCTCCCTTCTCAGCCCTTTTCTGGGCTGACTCACTAACACTAAGCATTTAGGAATATACAGAATGGCCATTTCATGTCCCGCATTCCTTTGTCAACACTCCCTTTCCTGGTGTGTGTCAGATGAACAGAATTACTGATCAATTGTACTGATAGAGAGCTGGTCAAATTTATTACATGTTATAGCTTGAAGGTCTATCAGGGATCAGAGATCAAGCACTCTGATCCTAGTCAACATTCAGATCAGAGATCAAGCACTCTGATTCTAGCCAACATTCAACAGCGATGTTCTTTGCTGGCTTCACCTCCATTTCAAACATGAAAAAAATTAACAGCCTTAAGTCCACTTCTTGAAATATCCAGTCAGGCCTTGTAAGAAATCTAATTATAGGTTAAATGCTAGTAGCAGCAAAATTCATTCCTTGGCTACACCCATATGGTCAAAAGGCCAGCCTTGAAGAGTCTAGCCCAGGCCTGTGCCAGGTGCTGACCTTAAGTAAACATTCATCAGTATTTCAAAAAGATTTCAAGTAAAAACATCACCAAAGGGATCCTGTTTAGTCTGTGCACTTAGAACAAACTCCTACACTAGCACTTAAGACAAACACCATTTCCAAGCTAGGCGGCTTGACTTTACCTTCTACTTTGGGCTTCACTTCTGCCACACGCTCTGCAAACTTCTTTTTGAAGTACAGCGATTGCAATCTTTGCTGATAATGATTAATTCTGTAAAAAGCAAGCACGGACTGATGAACATTAACTTACTATGAAAGCCTATTTTGGTCTGGCCTGCATGGGGTATTTGGATAATTGCCCCAGAGCCCTTAGAAACCCCTAAATCATTCAGCTGCTAAAGAGAAAGCCAGTGTCTGTTGACTAAAGTCCCCTTCCTTCCCATGGGCTAGTAGCTCTTGTGAACAGAGAGATGAAAATGAATAAAGATGTAAACTCCCCAGGCTTCTGGCAAAACTGCACAGACTTGATATCCACCATCTTCTACCCACATCATCCCCTCTTCCTTGCTGTCCCCAAATCTTCCTTTATCTGCGGTGAGCTCTGTCGTCTCTTCCCCTCAGGGCTGGCAAGCATTGCCTTCCCCATAGTGACTAGAGAAAATGGATACACGCTGGCCTCTGGTCAGCATTAAGCCATGCTGGCTTTGTTGCTGAGGATTACAGTGGCCATTCCCACCCAAGCTCCTGAAATCAATGTTTAAGCTGCTCACTGTGCATGTGTCAGTTCAGTGGGACACTAAATGTATACCATGTAATCAACCAGACCTGGGTTTGCAAAGCAGATGCTCCCCTTATTAGATAGATATCTGTGAACAAGTGTCATATGGAAGAGAATAACCTGCTCCCTATAGTTCCCGCAGGCAGGGCTGACTGGGGGTTAAGTCAGAAGGCACATACAATGATCTAGACACTTAGGAAGTGGCAGCTACTTCAGATGGCCATTTCTCTTGTCTACATGGAAGGCTACTGGGTATTCCTGTGAAACTTTCAAAACCATTCTTTGTTCAACAGTCGTATACAGAATGTTAAGTTGTGAGGGAATAACAACAAAAAAGTTAGCCTAGGTGCTGTGAGTGGAGAGTGAGAGGCCTGTTCTTCTTGGCTGCACCAGCAGGTTTTTGGCACTGAGGAAGAGAAAGCTCTGCCCTGAGGGTCATTTTGAGTTTTGGGACCACTGGTCCTTCTCTAATGAGAATCAATTCACTAGGCCTGGAATGGCAAACAGGCTCAGCTCACATGCCAAATTCAATTATGGAGCAGTGGCTGCCCCAGGGCTTTCTGGAGAAAGGCTGAAAAAGCCAGCCAAGACTGTGAGACAGGTGCCACTATTGATTAGTGGTGTCTGCAGGTGTCACAATTTGACATCCAGACCAGTTCTGTTCAGTTATGAGGGCTCAAGGCTCACATGAGCAGTCTACCTTTTACAAATATTTTTTTTCTTTTCTTTTTCCATTTTTGCAGTATTGGGGTTTGAACTCAGGGCCTTAAGCTTGCTAGACTGGCATTCTATCACTTGAGCCACATCTCCAGCCCTGTTTTATGCAAGTTATTTTTGAGATAGAGTTTTGTGAACTTTTTCTACCTGAGCTGACATTGAACCATGATCCTTCTGCTTTCTGCCTGCCATGCAGCTAGTATTACAGGCTGCCCTGACCTGGCTTATTGGTAACAGGAACTCACACAAACAAAAGAATCAAATCCACACAGCTTAGACTTCTTCAGATTTTAGAATCTAACGATGCTTTAGGTCAAGCTAGGTTAATTGGCCCAGCAATTTAACATAGACAGAGTTAAACTTTTTTAGTAAGCAAAGGGCATCTTGTATTTTTTTTAAAGCATTTTTTAGTATTTTTCAACTTACCGGCTCATCTCAAAAAGGAATCGATCTGCTTTGGCCATCCGATCCAATTCATGCTTATGCTCCTCCAACAGGTCAATATCACTTTTTTCAGGAACAAATTTCAAAAGCTAAAAGGTACACACAAATATTAAAAGTGAGTTTATAACTTACATATTCCAGTTTTTGCTTTCCAGTTAGTTGATATAAGATAAAAATTTTAAATTCAATTTATAAGCTCTGCTCACAGCTAAGACAATACAGAAATACTGAAAGATTTACATTTTAACTAAAAAGTAGCTATCCTATAGACCATTATTAGATGGACTTTAGAGATCTGAGCCTCTCGAGAGATGATAGTGTGACCGAGGTTCAGAAAGATTAAGTAACTCACCCAGGATTGCAAAGTATATATAATCCATCATCAGAAATAGAACTCAGGTGTCTTATCTTTTTGTCTATTACATCCTGATGGAATAAAATAATTTTCTTCTATTTATAGCTCATATTCAATTTCCTTCCTTCCTTCCTTCCTTCCTTCCTTCCTTCCTTCCTTCCTTCCTTCCTTCCTTCCTTCCTCCTTCCTTCCTTCCTTCTTTCCTTTCTTCCTTCCCTCCTTCCACTTCACATAGTGTTAAATGAGAGGAACACAGTGAGATCTGATATATTTGATTCTACATCATATTTCAGAGGAAGAAATTAGTCTGGGTCATAGAATAAATATGAATATTTAAAACTGAGAAAGTACTTTTGTATGTGTCTGAGTGCCTTTCAAGGTATATACATTCATATGTATATACACATATGTATATACATATATACATATGTATATACACAGAGCTATATATGAATGCTATGTTCTGGATTAAGTAACCTTGGATTTTTTTTTAGACTATACTAACCCTTTGAACTCTGACAGCCTCTTTATAACTTGATGTATCGATGACACCAGCAGAAAAAGAGAACTGGAATTATAGGGAAGGAACTCTGAGAAATTATCGGGAAGTATGATAAAGTTGGCAATATATTCTAGGCAGACTGTGAACAATGTGCTGGACCTGGAACAGACTGCACATTTATGCAGACAAAGTGTGAATGTAATGACAGTCAGTGGGAGAGGGTGGGGTGGATAATAGCAGGGAGTGGCAATAGTTTTATGAGAAATTTAGACTAGCTGGGCGCTGGTGGCTCACGCCTGTAATCCTAGCTACTCAGGAGGCTGAGATCTGAGGATTGCGGTTCAAAGCCAGCCCAGGTTGGAAAATTGGAAGTGGCACTGTGGCTCAAGTGGTAGAGCACTAGCTTTGAGCTGAAGAGCTGAGCGATAGCTCCCAGGCCCAGAGTAAGAAAGAAAGAAAGAAAGAGAGAGAGAGAGAGAGAGAGAGAGAAAGAGAGAAAGAAAGAAAGAAAGAAAGAAAGAAAGAAAGAAAGAAAGAGAGAAAGAAAGGAAAGGAAAGAAAGAGAAAGAGAAAGAAAGAAAGGAAAGAAAGAAAGAAAGCAAAAGAAAGAAAGAAATTCCGTCTTTATTTTGAGAACATTGGGATATGCCTTCAGAATCTTACGTAGGAGAGTGTGAATTTGAATTTTTCTTTCTTTAATTAATTAATTAATTTTGGTCAGTCGTGGGGCCTGAACTCTGGGCCTGGGTGCTGTCCCTCAGCTCTTCACCTAAAGGCTAGCACTCTACCACTTGAGCCACAGTGCCACTTCTGGCTTTTTCTGCTTCGAACACAGGGCCTCATATATGCAAGGCAAGCACTCTACCACGGAGCCACCTTCCCAGCCGTGAATTTGATTTTAAATGATCATGTGTTTATAGACTAGAGAGTCAGAAATCAAAACTGATAAGGAGATCATAAATTAAGATAGTTGGAATAGTAATTCAAGTAGAACAGAGGAGGGTGGCTTGGATTAAGTTGGAAGAGGGATGGGAAAAAGTGGAATGACTTTAGTATTTGAAATAATTGCAAGAGAACCAAGTAGGAAATCTCTAGGAGCAGTTGAACAAATGGGTCTAAAATCTAGAGATTTATTTGGAACATGAAGTACTGGACATGGGTGCGAGTGAGATACGCAGGTGAACTGCTGAGAGAAGAAAGAAGCAGGGCTAGAGAGAACTGATGTTCTAGGAAAAAGGCCAAGAAGAAGAGGAACCTTCAAAGGAGGAAATGGAAATATAGCCAGAGATCCATATGACATTGCAAGACCAAGAGAAGAATGTGGCTACGGGTGTCAAACACCACCAAGAAATCAAGAAAGATAAGGACTGCCAAGTGTCCCCTGGCTTTGGGCACAGGGAAGGTATGTGTGTCCTCAGTGAGAACAGCTTTAGGGAGATGAGGGTGACAGACTGCAGTAGATTGATGAAGAGTGAATAGAATGGAAGTGTGGACAACCTTTTAAGAACCTCGGCTGTATTAGAAAGAGAGAAAACAGTAACTCTCTGTGTCAGTAACTCTGTGTGTGTGTGTGAGAGAGAGAGAGAGGGAGAGAGAGAGAGAGAGAGAGAGACAGACAGACAGACAGAGACAGAAGCTGAGTTGATGAGGTGAGGTAAGATCTAGGGAAGGGGCAGGCAATCCAGAGGGGCCCCTACTAGAAGAAAGGGATAAGGCCAGAGCAGGCATAAGAGACAGGTTCCCTTTCCTAAGTGGATGGATTGGAGAGCAGAGAGGCAGACACAAGGCAGTTCATCAAGGGCTACTGTCTGGGTAGCTCCTAGGTGTTTCATAGTCAAAATGCATCACTGTATAGGACATGTATCTTTTTGTTTTTCCTCAGTACAGGAAGGGAAGGAAAGGAAGCTGGTAGGGCAAAGAGAACGAAGAAAGAAGTGGGGAAAAATGATCTGTTTTACCCTCACTTTGTTTGAATTTTTACCTACTGGGCCAAGAAAGGCAGTTCTAGTCTCAGGGATCCTTTTGCCAATTTGTACAGCCACCACCTCCAGCCAGTCTTTGTTAAAGCAAACACAGTCATCTTTTCAAAAAATTTTAAGAGCTCAAGTCCCTCTAAAAGGAGAGTTGAGTAACAAGGAGCATGGATGGTTTTTAGAAAGGAAGGGGGAGTTAGGTAAACACCTGGGAATAGGAGAAAGATATGCATCCCAAGAATGAGGAGGAGTTTATAAATCTCATCTCAGATCTGAGCCCGGCAGCCAAAAGCAGCAGGACAGGAAGGAAGGAAGGAAGGAAAGTAGGCCACAGAAAAATCACATAAGGAGAAAAGAGACACTAGTATCACACTTGTCTGGGAAGAGCAGTGCACAGAGGAGGAACAGTACAACAGGGAAGAAAAGTAAGAGCGTGGGAGCTGACCGTAGAGCAAAATGCCCACCGAATTATCAGGAGAGACAGGTCAACAATATCCTTCTTGGCTAGATTCTGCATCAGTAGACGGATTTTCTTACTTGTGTTTATTTGAAGTACATTCTATTTGCACTGCAAGCCCTTTTTGGCAAGATTTTGGAATCCTTTCCCTCAAGGAGGAATTTTGCTGGATGCAATTTCACAGTAAACAGATCTTGTGGAATGTTAAACATACGACCTTGTCGATAGGGGCTGAAGACAGAAGGACTAACGCAGCTTTGCACATAGTTCTTCACTCTGGGTTAGTGAAGAATTAGAAGGCAAGATCACCTGGGAGTTGAGGGGGACTAAGGGAGCTAGTTGCACTCTCCTAGCACACATTCTAGTTTCGGCTGGCTTATTGTGAGGAAGGGAAAAGTGTATGGAGAGTCAGAAACACTCTAAAAAAGATCTTAAACGATTCCATCATGGTAGACTTGAAGACAGTGTCATGGAACTATCCTGATAATTAACTCAAACCTTCAGCACGAGGAGCTTTTCTACTAGTAAGTATGCAAGTCCTCACCCAGGACAACTCCAGCAATAAGTCCACTTAGCGGATGCTGCTGCCCACTTAATTCCTCCTTACCCATGTTTGAGATCTTCTAGGACAATGTGCATGTAGATAGACAGAAAAGCAGAGAACCTTCACCATCCAGGCCCACAGAATACCTTTGTCCATGTTTTTGGCACTGAGCAAACACGCACTGATGAAACCTGAGTCTAGCTTGGGATCATGGTTAATCATGACAAATATCAACCTTAACTGGATCTAGCTCTGACAAACCTCTTGACCTGAATCACTCATGTCTGATTCTGCCTCAAGGATGTGAGACAAAAAGATGGGATAACTTAGAGCATTCTGAGACTATTACTATAATGTTTAGGAAAATGTAGGTCCCACACCAAGGGGCAAGAGAAAAGCATGTGTGCTAGCTCAACAACACTGTTTTGGGGGAAAACTGGAAAAAGTTGCTAAACACGTGGCACGGATGGAATGCCTAAGCAGAAAGGTAGAGAAATATTGCTGAACAGGAGTGGTACTCAGTGGGCACAAGGTTAAAAAGAAAATGAGCACTGGTGGCTCACGCCTGCAATTCTAGCTGCTTAGGAGGCTGAGATCTGAGGATCACAGTTTGAAGCCAGCATGGGTAGAAAAGTCTGTGCGAATCTTATCACCAATAAACTACGCAGAAAAAGCTGAAAGTAGCACTGTGGATCAGTAGTAGAGCACTAGCCTTAAGGACAAAGAGGCTCAGTGACAGCGCCCAGGCCCTGAGTTCAAGCCCCAGGACCAGCAAAACAAACAAACAGAAAATGAACTATACAACTTGTGAGTGGGGATGAGAAGGAAAAACTGGGAGAGAACAAAGGAAGGGGTAAAATCCCCCCCCCAATGATTTCCTTAATAATAACATCACCTTAATAATAACAATTTTTGAAAAAAGGAATATTGCATGAAGACAGAGCAGGTCGGTAGATTAGACCAGCTGCTTGGCTGTATTATATGTATTATGTGTAGATACCACTATTAGCCCTGGAATTGAAATGGACTGCCATTTATGGAGAAGATAGTACCATGGACAAACAGAGATCAGACTTGGCCCACCCTCCATCCCCCCTGCCAAAAAAAAAAATTGATCAGTCACCTAAGAACATGGTGATGATTCTGAGGTTTTACAGTGGCTTTTATAATGAGCCAAGACCAAAGACAAAAGTTGTACTAAGAATTTAGCAATGAGTCAGTTTATGTAATACAGTTTATAATCTCTTAGTGCTAGTGAGATTCTCAACATTCCTACAAAATGTAGATTTTTCTACTAAACCCAGCATGCATATATATATATATATATATATATATATATATATATATATAAAATGAAGATATAGTCATTTAACTGCAGCTTGAGGAACAGAATCTGGCACCGTGCGTGCCCAGAATTTGGCTAATTTGTGGTCTGTCATCTTACTCATCATTTTGAGAAACTATAGAGAATAAAATCATTGTCTCCTAAGGAGCAGCATGGAACCTTGGCTCAAGTTTTTCAATTGAGACATGTAGAAATTATCTATTAGCAACAACCAGAGTTTCTTAATATCCTCCTCCTGTGAAAAGTCAGCTGTCACTTAGGCTGTGAGAAACGTCTGGCAGTTTACCTGTTCCAACATGTCTTTGGGCAGATCTTCCTGTTCATCCATGGTTAGAATTGCCCGCTTGATTTCATCATTGGATAATTTCAACCTGGAGAAAGATTTTTTTTGTCATTAACAATATTGGCATTAACATTTTATGTAAGATAACTCCTTTTACTACTCTAGCTGCTGACTTTCTAGTATGGTTCTACTCAAAGCTCTCAGTGAAAGCTTATTTCCTGACAATATAGGATTTGGGGTCTAAAAACAGGAATTCGAAACTGCTTTAACATTCTTTCATGGCTTTGTAATGCACTGCTAATGCAGAGAACAAGGCTGCTATGTTCTATCATTTAATTTCCTAAAGCAAGGGTCTGGAATATTAGAAATAAGGGAAAACACATGTAATTGTTTTCTTTTACACACAGTACCCATGAATTGTAAGTGAGATGAGAAAAATTAAATTCCTGGCCCGATTATGTTAGGAGTATTCCAAGTTTGCTGTCAGGCTAAAAATGACCTTGAGAAGGTCAAAAATCACAAATTACTGTTAAACAGTTTAACAACAGTTAATATACAAAATAAAGTTCAAGCTTCAGGCTCTTTCTTGTGATTGTTCTTCTGGATCTCAGCCTCCTGAGTAGTAGCTAGGATTCCTGAGAGGAACCACTGGTGCCTGACTCCAAAGGATTTTTTAAACACAAACATTGCTTATCTAGCTAATATCTTAAAAGATAGAATTTATTAAAAAATACTAACCTGTTTTGTTTGCCATAAAGTTAAATGATTTTTTAATTTAATTAAAGTTTGTTGTGTAAAGTCAGAACAAAATGGTGTTCATTGTAAAATATAAAGGTCATGAAAGAAAATAGACTTGTAAAATGTGTTTTTATTAGTTACAACAATAATGATAAAGGAAATGATCTGAATCATATTTTCAGCTATGACAATGAAATCCCTTTTTATCTGTAAGGTACGCATATTTACTTTTTTTTTTACATCTTTATTCCTTAACAACTTACCACTCTATTAATATAGCATATTAACATTATCCAGCCTGTTCTTTAGTCTATGCTTTTTAAGAAGAATCACATCTAGGACTTGGGATAAACACACAAATATAGGGCAAGAGGTCTACAAGACACATGCAATGTTTGAAGGTAGGAGCATTAGTATCAGACAGGCTAGCCCTCAGATACTGGTCAGTAAGATTTTAAAATTTATCAAACCTCAGTTTCCTCATGTGTAAACCAGGGGCAATAATAACTACATAGAATATTGTGTGTGTGTGTGTGTGTGTGTGTGTGTGTGCGCGCGCGCGCGTGGATTAAATGGAAGTGCTTTGCATAATTCCTGGCCATAGAGAGGGCCCAATAAACTGTACATAAAGTAGTATTTTTTAGACCTCAATATTCACATGCTGCTGACAAGACATTATAAACACTGCTTGATATGGTCGTCGTGAACATGTGGCAAGGTACTCAGACCCATCATCATACCAGACTCTTTCCTGTGTAGGACATTAGGACTGGGAGAATCAGAAGAAGCATCCTTATTTTTAAAGGTTGCATCTCTTCAAAGCACAGTTTCCTTAATCTTTGGGAGAATTAGGTGATCAGCAACATTCAAGACCCAGACACGTACCCAGCATGTCACAGAGGTGAGTGCAAGTCCTGAATGATGGAAGGATAAAGAGCTATACCCTAGGTACAGGTGAACGAGACCCGCTCCACTGTGGACACAGCAGCTTTCCTCTTCTCCACACTTTGACATGATTTTGTTTAAATCATTCACCTTACTATTTAAACTACATGTCGTTTCATGTGTGAATAAGGAGGAAAGAGAAGGAACAGATTTGAGGATCCTATTGTACTAACACCATTTTCATCTATTTCATGTTCTCAAATTCAAAGGTAAAATGCCAGGCAAAATGCCAAGCTTTCTGTGTTGACAATGAAGCCTCTCCTATTCCCTCACCTCATCTGTGGAGTCATGGTAACCTCTATGCTGGGTAGGGAGACCCTGGCCCTGGAAAATTACGATACAGAAGCCCCATAATTAAATGGAACAATTTAGCTAAATTGGCCCGGGTATACAACAGGAGGAAAATGGTGTCACAGCTTGTGATCTCAACTGTCCAGACTCTGAGTACCCCTAGTCCAGATTCTTGAGTCACTATAAGTGCCAACACCTTGGTGTAGCCATGCAAATCCAAGAAACAGCAACACTAGCTGTGACTGAAACTGCCACTAACGAGAACTAACCAGCTGTGATCAACCCAAGAAGAGATCTGTTTATAAGGGGAAAAAAATTAGTTCTGTGTCCTTTTCACACCAAGTTAAAGAAACCATATTATATGGTGTAGTTCTGCTGAGTCCTTCTGTTTTACATTTAAAAGAAAAGGAATTGAAAATCAGAGTGAGAACAATACTTGAAGTATCAGATTTGCATTTCATTAGCTTCCCATATGGAATGCAGAACTCCTTGCTTTTGAAATTGTATATATTTATGTTCCTCAGTCCCCAGAGGCTGTCTGGATAAAACACCAGCCCTAATTTGTAGCAATTCTGGTTTCTCTTAATGTGACACAAAGAGACTGGAGACTTTAATGGATAGTACTTAAGAAAATCTACCTGTCAACATAACGCCCTGCACACGCCTGTTGGATCAGACAAAGAAACCCTACCTTAGAGGAAAGAAGAGAAGGGTAATTCACCCTCTAGAGCTATTCTATAGGTTGCACAGTTCTTAGTATCATCTATCATCCACAGAATGAGCTTCTAATCTCTGTAATTTAAGGACCCTACTGATTCTAGCCGTTTAATTGCTTTTAAAGGTTGGCAGTACTTTGGTGTGCAGAAAGGTGGGAACTTTTGACACATCAACTTCAACTTTCTTTATAAGGCAGGAAACAAAGCAGTCATTTTTTTTTTTTTTTGCTCTATCATGCTGCACTCAAGTATTTTAAAAAATTGCTAAGAGAATTGCCACATCCAGGTATTAATTAAAATAAGCTAAAGATGGATAGGTAGACCAGCCTTAGCTCTTGCCTCAAAGGATTTAATGACAAATCTCCTTTTTGTAACACAACTTTTAGTAGTTTATAACACCCAAGCTGCCATGTCAAGTGAGTATCTGAAAAAGGAAGGCAAAACACTTAGGAAGACTGTATTTTAGATGGGAACATCTTGCAGTATAAACTTGCTTCCAAGTTCCTTCTTTTCTTAGTTTCCTTTTCCCTCCTCTCCTCCATCCCTTCTTTTTCTTTGGAAGGGAGAACTTTCAAAAGTTCTGTATCTCTTTTGGGGAAAAACCCCCTCAATTTTAGATTGCTATATTTCACTTATATTCAAGCAATAGAAAATGTTACTTGCTCTGTGAAAGGCTTGGTGTTTAAGAACTCGGATTAAGTTGAACTTTAATAGATATTATAATCTAACAGAGATAAGGCAGATATTAATGGCTTCTGGAGCCCACTGTGTCCAAGTTTGCAATAGGAATGGTCTTGCATGCCATCAAGTTTCCCATTCAAATCCATGTCTTCAATTCCGTCTGAGAGCTTAAAGTGAACTTGACTGTTCAAGCTATAAACATCCACTTACTGAGCATGAGGAAAACTGACTGCTTGGCTCCAGACTGAGGCCAAGGCAGGTTCCCCTAACCAAAGCACCCCATAACTTCTATAGTATGTGAAGAACAGCTTTAAAGAATAACCAAACACTGTGGACATATGTGGTTCATGAAAATACAGCCATATATTATTCCACATATGGAATATGCCACAGGCTTTCATCATGGTAGACTTTTGCATAATAAATGATTTCTGGGTAATAAGTCCCCCTACTCATCAAATAAGAAAGTAATTAGTCAACCTTTAAGAATGAAATAGCAGGAAAGAAGGAAGATAACTTTGGAAAGGTCAGAAATCTTGATATCACCTTTGGAACATTTCTATTCTTTGTCCCCAAGCACTAAATAAGATGTCAAGTCCAATCAAGGCTTCTTCATTCCTGTCAGTTCTATTCCTTATCAGGTCTCACTTGAACCAGAGAAAGATACTCCTATCTGATGGCTGGCCCTTTATTCAGTTCTTGACTCCTTCCACCTTATTCTGCAAACCCAAGACTAAACTTGAAACTAATTATAACAAACACATCTGAACAAACTGTATAGTTCCCTGATACATATCCCATGATACATACACATAGCCTATAATCTGAGCAGCTACCATGGATAGGTACCTTGCTAGGGGCTTTGTGTGAATTAGGCTAATTTTCACAAGCCCCTACAGAATCTCTACTTTTTTGTTTTTGTTTTTAAATACATTTTTATTATGAAAATACTGTACAGAGGGGTTACAGTACATGAGCAAGGCAATGAACACATTTCCTATCAAGCATTGTTGCCACCTCCTTTGTTTTCCCCCAGAACCTCTACTTTTATGCCCTCATAAAAGCCAAAAACATGCTAAGTTTCATTCATTGCAACTGACAAATTGTGAGACTGCTGTAGCAGCAGGTTTCATGCAGCAGGCTTTATTGGCTTCTCCAAGGCTCCTTGGAAATGCCTTCCCTGCTCCTCTGAACTTGTCACAGTGCTTCTTTGCCCTTTGTGGCCCACTTTCTCCAGCAACCCCTGTTGGAGCAGGCTTGCTCCAGCATGAGCTCACACAGCTGAGCAAGGCAATTAGCAGAGTTCCACGTGTCCTTCCAGTAAGACTAATGTAGTCCCTGAGTTCTTCATGTGTCTTCTTATGTACTACATTGCTTATTCTTTTTCAGTTAGCCTTCATCTTTCAAAGGCAGCAAAACTGTGTTAGTTTGCTTTACTTCATTGTAACAAAGTACCTGACATAAGCACCTTAAAACAGGATCAGTGTTGGGTAGGCAATGTGGCTCAGTGGTAGAGTACTTGCCTACCATGCATGAAGCCCTGGGTTCCATTCCCCAGCACCACATACACAGAAAAAGCCAGTGGCACTGTGACACTGTGACTGAAGTGATAGAGTGCTAGCGTTGAGCAAAAAGCTCAGGGACAGTGCCCTGGACAGTCCCAGGACTGGAAAAACAAAACAAAACAAACAAACAAAAAAACCCCAAACAAAACCCCACCAAAAGGAAAACCAAACAAACAACAAAAAAAGGATCAATGTATTTTTGGTTCATGGCTTTAGTTCATGATCAGTCACTTGATCCCATTGCCATGGTGAGGCAAAGCATGATGGTACAGAGGGCGAGCAGGTCAGAACTATTCACCTTATGGCTGCCAGGAAGCAGAGAGACAGACAGGAAGGGGCCAGAAACAAGGTATAATCTTCAAAGGCCTACTTCCTCACCTATGCTGCCCACCTTCCAGTTTCTACTACCTTCCAACAGTCCATTCAATTGTGAATCCATCACTTCTAATCCATTGATTAGATCCAAGATTTCATGTTACAATCAGTTTCCAAAAGACTTTCCTTTAAGCATTGAACTGGGACCAAGTCTTCAATACAGGAGCCTTTGGAGGACATTTCCTATCCAAATGACAATACCATTTTAAGTTCTGGTATATCCTATGGCACCTAGCACAGTGATAGGCAAATAAATGCTCCAAAATGATGACTCAGAAAAAAGCACTACACACTTGCATAATCTCTTCCCCACTTAAATCCTTACTTCCTTTTGTATGTAATAACTGTCTATGAAAATAAGACAATCAAAGAATGCTAATAGGCTTAAAAATTAAGTAAAATACAAATTAAAATTAAGTCAAGCTGGGTGTGCTGGTGCACACCTATGATTGTAGTTACCCCAGAGTTGGAGGTAGAAAGATTCCAGTCCAACACTAGCCTGGGAAGAGATCCACATGACCTTACATGAAAAAACAAACTAAAAGAAAACAGAAAGACTAGGGTTGTAGTTTAAGTGGTAGATAGCTTACCTAATAAACACGAAGCCTTGAGTTCAACCTCTAGTACTGAAGATGAAATAAAATACATAAAATAACTCAACGTTCCCATTTACTACAACACATTTAATTTGTCAATATGTGCTGTCTTAATGGAAGCGTGGAACAATTGATTACCAGGCAGAATACCATATGGTACTGAATCTTCTGTGAGACTGAGGGTTTTAAACCCTCACATTGGGTCAACTGGTATTCCAAAGTCTTTTGTTATTTACCATATACTTTCAATTGTGATTACTGAAGTCATACCTATTCATTAAATTGTATTTTAATAGACAATCTAACAGATATAAGCCAACTTCTCAAAACTGTCTCCCAGACGGTTTAGACACATATAAATTCTATGACACTTTTGAGACAACAAGGCAATTACATACCACAAAGATGAAATCATTCCTTCAATAATAGAATGCTAAATTTGCCAGAGAAGAGTTTTAGCTGTATCTATAACTACCTAAAATACCCTGACTAGCACTTAATATTGAGAAAAATCTGTCTGTAAAGGAACTAGGTCACAGTTTTAGCTACACATAAATTTTAACACTATAGAAATCAAAATACTTCCTTTCACCAAATTGTTTTAATGGTTCTCATCTAGACTGCAAAAGCACATAATATAGGGCTTCTGAAATTTTATTATTTATTTATTTATTTTTATTGTGAAAATACTGTATAGAGGAGTTACAATTACATGGGCAAGGTAATGAGTACACTTCTTATCAAGCATTGTTGCCTCCTCCTTTGTTTCCTCTTCCCATCCCTTCACATCTCCCATCCCCCCCACCCCCCACCCCAGCCAAAGTTGTAAAGTTCGTTTTTTGACATAATGACTTGTACGTCTCATTGTTGCAATGGGTCCACCTATATCACTACTTAAACGATTTGTTTTTTCCCTTCCCTTCCACAAATTATACCAACATCAAATACAGTGAAAGCAGGGATTCTGAAATTTTAAAATTCCCCTAGTCTTCATTACTTTTGAAATTAAGAATGTTATTTGTATGCCAGGGAATGGTGGCTTATGCCTGTAATCCTAATTAGGAAGCTAAGATGTCAGAATTGTGTTTGGAAGCCTGCTTGGACAGGAAAGTTCATCAGACTCTTATCTTCAATGAAGCAGGGGGGAAAAAACAGTTGATAGTTGAGCTGTGGCTCAAGTGATAGAGTGGTATACCACCTTGAGTAAAAATGTTCAGGGACAGGCTCTGAGTTCAAACCCAGAACCAGAAAAAAAAAAGGTATTTCTAAAAAGAAAACAAAACAAACAGTATACATTGTAGAAGAAAATTGAGTGGCTCTTCAAGTTATTTTTGGTGGTATTTTTCTCAAGGCAGATAGATATTTTATCTAACCTATGCATGGTACCTGAAGCAAACATGACAAGAAATAAAGTCACCTGCAATCCTAGTTACTCAGGAGACTGAGATCTGAAGATATCAATTTGAAACTAGCCCAGGCAGAAAAGTCCATGAAATTTTTACCTAAAATTAACCAGCAAAAAGCCAGAAGTAGAGCTGTGGCTCAAGTGGTAGAGTGCTGGCCTTGAGCAAGAAAAGCTAAGGGTTAGCACCCATGCCCTAAGTTCAAATCCTAGTACCAACAATAAACAGTAAAAAATAAAGAAACAAAAACCCACTCCCCACCTCAAGAGAAACACAAAGCCTGTCCATTCATATAACCTCTAGATAGAACAGAAATAAAATGTTAACAGAGTATATAAACTGTATTCAAATATAAGGACTTCACTACCGTTCTATTATCTCTTTCATGAAAAGGAACATCTGCTCCTCAAAGTAATAGCTATCTGGTCAAAAATCAGGCTTCCATGCTGAAAACCAAGTACCAGCATTTGTGTTCAACAAATCACAAGTGTAAGCTCCAGTAAGTAATGGGGACCACTACTTTTCATCTTTACTCTCCCCAAAGGAGAGTCACCTTATACCAACCTCAAAGCAAATACAGCATTCCTTCTAGAACACTGCAGCTTATCTCTAATGCTCCACTCTCAGCATTCTTTGCATCTTCACACACCTCGTAAGCATTAGGTGGAAATCTCTTTTAGAGAAAAGAAACTAGATACAGAAAAGCTACTTGAAATGCTCACAACAACCTGACATTATCTGGAGTACAATCAGATCCCTGGCTCCCAAACTTCCCTTCAGGTTTCTGTGAAGGTACCCTAATTATGATAAAGACTGCTCAACAGGGCCAACCCTGGATAAATTAACATGTCATTGAGGTTTGAGATTTATATATAATTTTAACCATAAAAATGTTCAAAAAGAACATGATATCATATGAACTTGAAATGCAAAAAAAAAAATGACATCCAAGAGCAGAAAATAGAACCATCAGAGCCAGGAGCTGGTGGCTCACACCTATAATCCTAGCTACTAGGAGGCTGAGAGCTGAGGACCATGGTTCAAAGCCAGCCTAGGCAAGAAAGTCTATCAGATTCTTATCTCCAATGAACGACCAGAAAGTGGAGCTATGGCTCAAAGTGGTAGAGTTGTTGTTAGCCTTGAGCAAAAGAGCTCAGGGACAGCACCAAGGCCCTGAGGTCAAGCCCTACAACCAACAACAAGAAGAACAAAAAGAATCATCAGCCAAGTTCTGATTCTGTGACAGCATTACTCAAAGATGAAAGTTCGGCTGCAGCTAAGAAATACAAACATAAAAAAATCAAGCCTATTTTACACGTTTTTAAGGAAGAAAAATCAACTTAATAGTTGATTTGGCATCAAACTCTGATTCATTTCTAGGGGAAAATGACACCCAAAGGCATTCTTCATGGTAAACAGAAGGGGAAAGGCCTGTACCTAATGAAATAACAAGCATGTAGTTTGAAGCCACATAAGGGAAAAACTGATCCTGTTAGAAATGTTTATTCAACACCAACAGTACCTTGACAGAAGGATGTTGCAGTTCTGAGCTCTCCGGCCATCAATCACTGACAGCTCTTTGACTTTAAGTTTGGAACTCAGTGTGTCATCAATGGCATCTGCTTCTTTCTGTAAAGAGTACGAAAGAAATCCATCAAAGTCAAGCAGGGACCCTCAGACTTCAGACATTTTCTTTCACCCACCCCCACACAGCACACACAATGTGTACATACACACATGGGCCAAGCTGAGCTGAGAGGTGGCGGAGCCCAGGGAAGGTGGTGGGACTGAAACAAAGGGTACGATCTAGTTGGCAACAAGAAATAATAAGAAAAGCTGACCACCCACATTTGAGAAAGCTTTATTTGGAAGAACAAAGTACTTCCAAGTGAAGATGCTAAGTGTGAATAAATTATCAATAGTGATGCCATTCTTTTGTCCCTCAAATCCCTATGGACAGCAGACAGAAGAACTGTCACCATGAATCAAGCTCAGTAGAGGCTTACCATTGCTGGTCTAGCCATTTGCAGGGCCTGTTCACCTCAGAACCATTTACATCATTGGCACTCAAGAAAGCTGAACAATAAGACCTCTCAGATGTCTTCCGTGCAATAGGAAGTTCCCAAGGCTGATGCTACCTTTCATTACCCTGGAGCCTGACTATTCAATACATTTTTTCAGTTACCCGAATTGACAATTAAATGCTACCTGCATATTCTATTTGCATATTCATTCCTGGTGGCCAGCCATAATTATGAAACACGCATAAAACAATAGCAGACAAAATAAAATTTGAGTAAACTGTACATCAGAGGTTCTGACAGTAATAAAAAGCTCGAGATTAAAAACAGAAAAACTTGAGTAACAAGTTTGATTTCATGAGGAGGCTGAAGAGGTCTGGAACTGTATCATGGTTTAGAAAACAAAGGCACTATGGAATGTGTAATATTAATTCTGTGAGATTAAAGCCAAATGATTCTTGTGTTGGGTTGGTAGATTTTCCTATAGATACTCTATTAAGAATTGAAACCCAAGGAGGAATTATCTAGGTTTTTCATGACACTATCTAAAAACCAGTAACAGCATAATTAAGAAATGAGGCAAGAAGTTGTATCAAGCACAGTTTAGGTAGTAGTTCACTTACCTGTTTGGAGTTACTGTTCACAAAGAAATCCTACAGCCATGGCAGAGGCATGGGAAAGGCAAATCAGATACATGCAGTTCAGAAATCATAGCAACAAGCAAGAGAAAGTCAAAGTAGCTAAGGAAGTCAATGGTGCAGGTTAAGACATGATTTGTGTGCTTCAGTAAACATGAGGATGCGAGACTGGCTGAAAGTACATTGAAGGGCATGGAACAAAGCATTTTGGATAGAGCAAGGCAATGATATTTGTCGCACATAATTTTTAAATGGTAGCAAGTAAAATTCAGAGAAAGGGTTTAGAAATGCCCAAGCTAGAAAAGGAACAAAATCTCTTTGAAATAAGCACTAGACTTCCACTTATTCAACGTGTTGATTTTTCTTGTTTCTTCCTTACCCGTCCTGTCTGCCCCAATTCCCCATACTGGGCCTTGCCTTCTCTGCCAACTCCTTGCCAATTTTTGCTTGATGTTGGAAGATTAACAGTCACATTTATAAACTTATGGATGCCATTATCACTGTTATATACTACAAAAATATGCTTTTTGTAGAAATAATTTTCTTCCTGTCTTCTTGTATTGTAAGGAAGATTTTTAAAAAGTCATGTGGAAGAAACTAAATCAGTACTATTAACCCTCATTCTGTCTAGAGGGTCCAAATCATGCCTGTAGGTATAATGGATAGGAATAAGGGAGGCAGACAGTGGCTCACAGGCTGTGTAGCCACTGGTGGCCCTATCCCAACTACCTTGGGCCTATTCAAGAATATATAAGGTCTACTGCATTTTAGTGAAATAGCATTTTAAAGAAGGTGTGGAATGAAGAAGGGAAAGAAAAAAAAAGAGTTGATACTTCAGAAGCTGCTAGGAGTAGTGGCTCATGCCTGTAATCCTAGCTACTCAGTAGGCTGAGCTCTGAAGATCACAGTTCAAAGCCAGCTCTGGCATGAAAGTTCCTGAGATTCTTATCTCCAGTTAACCACCAGAAAACTGGAAGTGGCGCTGTAGCTCAAAGTGGTAGAGTTATAGCCTTGAGCGAAAAAGTTCAGGGACAGTGCCCAGGCTCAAGTTCATGTCCATGACTACCACCACCAACAAAATGAAAACAGAAAAGAAGAAAAGTGATAGCTTTCCTTGCACGCTCCAGCAACATGTACAACTAGCATTTGCTCAGCAGATTCCTTAAGATCTCGCTGGTCTCCACAGCACTGGCAAGGCCAATTTTACACAGATGAGCTGTTTCACACAATTCTTTTAGCGAGAAACAGAGCATGTCCTCCTTTTGCTCTCTTTTCAAGAATGACATTTAAAAATAAGTTGATAACTACAAGAAACTTTTCTTCCTCTCTCATACCAAGTTTTCATTTGCCCTTTTGCCCTTGTTAGAACCATGAACTTTTCTACTCTGAGGCTTCTTAAGACTCCTCTAAAAAGTAGTTTCAAGCACAGAAAAGACTTTGGTATAATGTTCTATGAAGTCACTGTAACCTATTTTTATCATTATTGTTTTGTTTCACAGAGAAAACTGATACTTGACTTTAGCTCCTGCTTATGAATTCCTCTAGCAACTCATTCTACATCTTAAGTTCTATTGTCAGGAAATTTATTTCTAAGATAGTAGCAAGTAGAAGCAGGCAGCTGTCTTTTATTGGCTATGTGGTTTGTGGCTCAGTTTCCTTATCTGTAAAATGGGTTTAACAAATGAGTTATTATGGGATGATGCATATAACACATTTTATACAGTACCTGACATATTTTGTGAGATCAATATTGGATGGTATTACAACTGTTTTATCTTTCAAACTGACAATCAAATCTACTTATTCCCCCTTTGTTCTTTTCTGTGCCAAACTGTAGACCAGCTAGCTGCTAAGGACCTTCCATTTGTAATCACCAGGAGCAGTAATAGTGAATAGTTAATAACAGCTAAGTAGTATATGTTATCTTTCCAGAGGTGCGAGTGAGAAATGCCACGGGAAAGTATTGCATTGTTCATCTCAAGATGGTACTTCTTTAAAGATCCAGTACTTAGCACATTACAAATAAAATTACAAAACAAAAAACCAACAAAAAATAAAATTACAAAAATAAGTTAGGGGGGGTATGCTAGAGATGAACAAACTTCTAAGCTTATTTCAAAGAAGATGCTTTCTGAAATCTTGAATTAGCCACTCAAAAAATGGAGGGAAAGGGCTGAGTAAGGTGGTAAACACCCACAATTCCAACTCCCAGAGAGGCATAGGGAAAAGGAGGATCACAGTTCAAGGATGGTTCCAGGTAAAAACATGAGAGATTATCTGAAAAATAACTGAAGCAAATATGGCCCGGCAGCATGTTACAAGTGATAGAATGCCTGCCTAGCAATTAGGAGACCTCTTTAAACTCCAAATAAAAATCAGAAGGAAATATTAAAAGATATTTCTAGTTGGCTTGAATCAAATATAATAGAATTTCCTATATTTGGCTCCACGTAACCAGATGTCTGATTTTTCCAGATAATTTCTAGTGTAGGGCTTAGGATTTTGAACATAAATTTGGTGCTTGCATTTTCTTGAATCAGTACTAATAAATTGCTATGAAAAAATAATGGCTCAACATTTCATATGAAAAAATAATGACTCAACACTTCATAGACATGATCATCCTTATAGAAATGATTTGTAACCTCTCTGAGGCTGAAATACCTTGGTAAATTTGACAAAAGCTGGAGACCCCTCTCCAGAAAAATGCACACACCAATATTTACATAAAAGCCTTCATTTGATTAACCCAGTTATCAATCTTTAACTTTGCACTTCAGCCCATACTTTTCCCTCCTGTCTTCATGTGCTCAGGCAATGGACTAAGATTAGTGAATAAATTTCCTAAGTTATACACATTTTCAAGGTTACAATTAGATGTACAGAATAATGGCAACTGTGAGAAGAATAAGAAAGGAAAATTTGTTGGTCACTTGTAAAAAGTCAAAAGATACTACTGAATGTTCCAAATGGACTCCAGAAATAACTTCCATATTACATATTAATAGTAGAGGTCAGATTCTAGAGCCCGAGACAACAGTTTGCCTTTGTCACTTATGTCAGAAAATAGAGGCTTTGAAGTGTTATTTTATACACTGATCATAAGATCCTAAAAGAAGGGCTGTTCTCAAGCAAAGGGCAGAAAGGAAGAAACTGGTCTGTGAGATGCTGTTATAAAGCTGTGACTCCCTTGAGGTAAATGTGGTCTCTCATGCTCATTTTTAACTCTGTTCAATTGCATGGATAGGGAGAAATGAATTTATGGCATGTCTGGATGGAATTTCTCTTAAAACAGACATGAATACTGTTTTATTGTATTTGAAATAATTCTGATATACAAGGTGCTATATTAGGTATTAAAGTAAATCTTTGTGGCTGACCTAGAAATTGTGTCTAATGTTGTTTCCATGAGGAAAAGAGTGCTGAGATTCAAGAAACTGACTTTCAAATGAACTCTTGGAATGTGAACAGAGGTTTAACTACATGCTATTAAATTCCATTTCATGTAGCACATAAGCTTACATAATCTGCTCTGCACACCTTTGATATATGCACCGAACAAAACCCAGATAGGAGTGGTTATGTTCAGACAACCGAGTTAAAGAAAATCCTCTACAAAGTCTGGTGGTGAAAATGAATAAAACCAGGGATTAGGAACAACAAAAATAAACACCCTAAGAAGTATTCTGCTTTATAGTCCTTATTGTGCCACCTGTTGGGCTAGCAAATGCACACTATATTTTTAAAATTATGCTATATTTTTTAAAATATCGTCATAGCATTGGGGTATTAAGAAACTAAAGCTGTATGTTGGGGCTCACACTTGTAATAGTCAGTTAGGAGGCTGAGATCTGGAGGATGGCAATTTAAAGCCAGCCTGGATGGAAAAGCCCATGAGACTCTTTCTTTAAAAAACAAAACAAAACAAACAAACATAAAACCCCACAGGGCTTGAAGTGTAGTTCTAGTGGTAGAAGCCAGCTAAGCAAGCCAGCAAAGTGACCATGAGGCCCTGAATTAAATATCCAGTACTCTCCCCCATAATTAAAAGAGAAAAGGAGTAAATGCTTTGAAGGAATTAAATTTTAAGGTCAATAAGATTAGGAACTGAGTATATCATACTCAACAGCAGAAACGTTCTTTTAGTTCATATTATACTTATTTACAGATTTTTCATCTCTGCTTTTTGGTGAGCATATGTAAAAATTGAATGCATTCACATCTTTTGAAATATCTTACACATAAAGTATAGCGTAGGCTGTCCTTAAATAGTGCAATTTGGTCTTAGGCTTGCAATCCTCCTGCCTCAGCCTCCTGAATGCTAGGACTATAAGTGTGTGCCACCACACCTGGCTAAATATTTTAATAAAGTATAAAATTGATAAATGTAAGCGTGTATAAGTAAATGAGTGTGCTTATGTATATATGTATGTATATAGGTACATATATATGTGTATGCATCACCTAAGTGCCATTTTATTCATCTAAATTATTCTTCTTAGATATTTCTAAGCTATCTCAAAAATCTTACTCTATGTAGGGTTCCCATTATATGCCAGCAATGGTATTCATGTTTTTCTTTGCCTCTGAAAAATTTATTTAGCCAAACAACTGGCCAGGATTTTATAGGTCTGGAGGGAGGAAAGAAGAGACACCATGGGGGGTGGGGGGAAGGTTCCCAGTACATTCTGGGATAGAGAACAGGGCAGCTCAAATGTGGTGAAAATTATATAATATACTGCCAAGACAAATGGAAATGCCATGGTCTCTTTGATGTTGCCACTAAGAGATGAGGGTCATTCAATGACAGGCATTCATTTCCTTCATTCTGTTCTACATGTTCCAATTAGAATGTCTCCATCTTTTGATTTTCTGGCTCTCAACATTCAGTAAATTCAATAAAATGGCATAGATTGCCTTCATTTGGAAAATATGCTAACGGTTTAAAAATGCTCATCTTCAACTCTTACACCAAAAGGGGAAATATGTTTGAATTACTCAAGCTGAGCAGGTGTGTTGAAACTTTTCTTCAGGAAATATTGCTGAAAATATGATCACAACTCATTCTACTTACTAGTCTACTTAGTGTTAAGTAGAACCAAAATGTTCCGGTCTAGCCTGCCTGGAATGACTACTGATTACTTAAACAGTGTTTGTTGCTAGGAGACAATTGCCCAATTGCTGGGCTTTCTGCAATCTTGTCTCCCAGAGCTCTTGAGAACTGTCCACATATTTGTCCCAGAGCATTTTGGCAGCATCCTTCTGCACCTTCTGCTGAAAGCAAGTTAATTATGAGTCTTGTAAACTTGGGTCTTTCAACCACCTGCCTTCACAATAAATGCAACCCACATGCTCAGGCTTGAATAGCATCATTTGCTGTTTTCTCTTCATTTAATACACTTCTCCAAGTTCCCAAACCTTCATCTCAGACAGCCAGCATTAGCAATTAAAACTGAAGTGGAAAGCAACAAGACTTGTAATCAGGTCAGAAGATGACCTTACTAGGATATCTGCTTTAATGGTCTATGAGTTTGTGTCAATGTCCAGAGGACATTTTCTTGGGACAGCAGAGAGAATAGAGACATAATGTAGTTAATAATGAGAATCTACACAGTATGGCTCTACATGCACCTTTTGTCCCCATGAAGCTAAGGTATCTTTCTACTGGACAATGTTTTACCTTTCTCTTAATTTTTCTTGATTTGGTATGCATAACATTGTACAATTTGCCTTTTTACTAACGGAGGGGTGTATATGAGGCTTGTGTGAACACAGCAGGCAATTACTGTTATTTTTGTACTTTTTAAACTACCACAAAAGGCATATTTTTGCTGTTTGCCCCCTTTTACACCAAAATATTCTCGCTATAACTGGGCACTAGTGGTTCACACTTGTAACACTAGCTACACAAGAGGCTGTGATCCAAATATTATAATTCAAAGCCAGCCCTGGCAGAGAAATTTGTACGTTCCTTACCTCCACTTAGCAAAAAGCCAGAAGTGGGAGGTGTGGCTCAAGTGTTAGAGTGCCAGCTTGGAGCAAAGAAGCTAAGCAAGAACACAAGGCCCTGAGTTCAAGACCCAGTACCGGCACACACACAAACTATTCCATAACTACACTGGCTAAATAACACTACTCCCCTACCCTATTTCAGATGGATCACTGACTAGCTTGAAAAAAAAATCTTTGGCTTTTGTTTCTTCCAGCCTCAATCTCCTATGGTGCTTAGCATTTGTATTCTGAGACATTTTTTCTCAGGAAACAAGCCAAGGAAACTGACTAGCTGCTTGTTGAGGATACTCCACCCTGAACATGATTCATGCAGGAGGTGAAGAGCCTTCCAAGACAGTCCAAGGGAAGCCCCCTGTACAGATGCCAGCACACATGTCCTCCAATTTAAGATACAACACACTCACGTCACCATTCCTCTCCATTAACAATCTTTAACAATCTTACTTTTCACTCTCATGGACTCTATTTTTTCCATGCTTGGGGCTCTAATAGATTGTTTGGGCATCACCTTTTCTTTCTTCTTTTGGACTCTCCACATGTCCACCTACCTTCCTGTGGCCTAAGAGAGCCCTACCAAGAAGTCTTCCAGCTGGGCGCTGGTGGCTCACCCCTATAATCCTAGCTACTCAGGAGGCTGAGATTCTGCCAGCCTGGGCAGGAAAGTCTGTGAGACTTTTATCTCCAATTAACCACCAGAAAACCAGAGGTGGCACTGTGGCTCAAAGTGGTAGAGTGCTCGCCTTGAGCTGAAGAGCTCAGGGATAGTGCCCAGGCCCAGAGTTCAAGCCCCACAATCAACCAAAAAAAAAAAAGAAAAAGAAAAGAAGTCCTCTAGAGGTACAAGAGGTATCATGGTGTGGCCAGGCCTCACATAGTGATGTTGTCTGGCCTCATCAATATGAATTGGTAGCAAGGGCCAAATCACATGTTCAGTTCACTTCAATAGATTCTGTAGTTCTATATGCATCATTGCCACCTTTATTTTCAGCTTGTACAGCCCCACTACTGAGCCTATCATGTTTATCACATATGGTAGAATTTTCTCTTTAGGTTCTGGTTATCACCAATCTTCATACTTCTAAAAAGTTTATCACCAAGCACTGGTGGGCTCATGCCTGTAAATCCTAGCTACTAAGGAGGCTTAGATCTGAGGATCATGGTTAAAAGCCAGCCTTGGCATGAAAATCCACGAGATTTATCTCCAATTAACTAGCAAAAAGCCAGAAGTAGACCTGTGGGTTAAGTGGTAACAGTACTAGCCTTGAGCATAAAAGCTCAGGGACAAGAAAAAGAGAAAAAAAAAGAAAAAAAAAGTTCATCTATTCCAAAAGGCTTGCTTCTGATAGTAACTTCTCGATATGTACTTTTTCAACTCAGATAAACAAAATGGCATATATTACATATATGAGTTATTTAAATATATATATGAATTATTGTATGTAACTCTATTTTTTTCCCCTACTGAACCATTTTGACTATAGCAGTGATGAAAAGATACAGAGCTCTTTACAACAATGGAGACATGGTATGATGCTTCCTAACAAAGAGCTCCATTAGCTTCAACACATATCCACTAACAAGTACTCACGTGGACATGAACTCTGTATTTCTTTGCAGTAACATACCAGGGGGTACCAAAGAGCCTAGTATTAAAACAGCTATCATATCACACGATAGCAGATGGTCCAGGATCATGCACAAACATATGATTTATTTACTATTTTGGTATCTTAAGGTCACATGTTGTTTACCTGCTGTCTTTGGTAGGCAGAGAATGTTCTTTCCAGGTCTTCAAGATCTAGAATTTTGAAGACTTTCGTATCATCAATTTCAGTCCATACTGTTCCTTCCAGTTTGTTCTAGAAACATCAAGTCAACAAGTCCTGTGGTTTATAGTTATACATAAAAAGAACAAGTATTTTTTTTAATGCTGCTATTCCAAATTTTTCATTCTATAAGGCCCTCAAAGTGCTGGCCTCATGTGTCATTATTTCACAAGTCTTATCACTTAATAGATGAACTGGTGAGAATCCTGAATCCCCACAATAAAATGAAATCATTGAGCGGTGGAGGCTGCTTCCCCTTCCATGATTTACACAATGAGCTGCTGCTGCTATCCATTGATGGATCAGTGGGAAAGGAAACACAAATGTCTTACCTCAGGCAGCTTAGACCAATTGAAGGATTTCAGGGCATTTGTGGGCTGAGGAATGTTTTTCTTCTTGAGTGCCAGACCCACTGGAGCACCAGGAGGAGGCATGATGCCCCCTAAGGGAGGAGGCCCTGGGGGAGGGGGAGGACCGCCAGGAGGAAGGGGTGGGGGTGGGGGAGGAAGCATTCCACCTGGCAGGGGTGGGGGTGGTGGAGGAAGAAGTGACCCAAGCCCAGAGGAAGGAAAGGGACCCCCTGGGGCTCCAGGTGAGGGCCCTCCTGGGATGGAAGCACAGACGGCTCTCTGAAAAGAGAAAACCAGGAAAAGTGAAGATTAATGGAAGAAGAAAATTAATTGGATGATTCTGAGAAGCTGGAATTACTTTGCCTAAAGCACAGGTTACAGAGAAATCCACACTTCAGAGAATGTAGATTTGTGGGGCAGGCAAATCAAATTGTCTTTTCAGGGCCTTTAAAGGACTTGGTTTAGTCATCCCTCTGTATTTGACACTAGAATGTTTGTCTGCCAAGCATTTATAGGTCTTTTGCTTCTTCCACCATCATATAGTTTGGTTTCCATGAAGTCAGTTTTCATGTTAACAGGCGAACTTAATCTGCTTGGATCTTAGCACCAAACAAGGTTGGTGCTAAATACCCCTTGCCCTACCCCACTACACAACCACTGTTGCTGCCAAACCTACATGATGGCAGACAGAGCAGGTCATAAATACGGCAATCAACTGTGACATCTTGGATTTGTGTCTCACATCAGAAATTGTCTACTCTTAGGGATGAGGGAGTGAGGCAGCAGACAGCAGACAGACAGTGTGGACAGAAGACACAATGAATAGCCCTCACCCTATTGAGCTCGTGGAGCTGTGCCGTGAGATCTGCCACCTGCTGCTTGACTTGCTTATGCTCAGTAGTCTCCTTTTCAAGTTTCTCTTTCATTTTATTTAAGGTCTGCATCATTTCTTCCTTCTCTTGAGTTTTGGCATCACATTCTCGCTCTTTCTTCTCCAATTTTTGTTGTAGCTCATTGTGCTCTACACAAGGAAACAAGTGGATATGGAAACAGGAGATGCTTCCAGGGTGAAATATTTTTCTCTATAAAGTAAATCAACTGAAGATGATGAGAGAGGTTGAGATTCTTCATTACGGGGAAGGATCATGCATTACTGCTGTCCACTAAAGGGCTAAACAGTGCTCATGCTGGGAAGGGACTTCAGATGAACAACTTCATTAATTATATTCTATAAAGACCAAAGAGGGAACCCTCTAAGGCAGAGCTCAGAAACAAAAGTTTGAGCAACTATCCATGTAGGAAAATGGTGACTGTTTGGTAAGGTAATTTAGAACACTTTCTTATAAATGGACAATTTAGTCTACTAAGGAAAATGAGAATTAACAGAACCTCTTCTCATACATTCGAAATGGGATGGAGAGAAGTCCAGTTTGGCTTGTGTCCACAATTAGAAGGGCTGAAAGGGGAGATCTCATGCTGTGAGGAAGCGCTGCTGGCAGACCCAACATGCATCCCAATACTGAATCACTTTTCAGTTACCCTTGGAAAGCTATCTTAAGTATCTCATGCTTCCAGCAAGCAATTATTAACAATTGTGGAAGCAAATCTCAATATTAAATATCTTAAGAGCAGTAGTGTGGATGAACATGAGAATCAGAGCAATATGGGGGAAAAATATTAGCTCTCAGCCATGTTTTTAATGACTTCTCCAGTCCTGCTATAGGGAACAGGGCATCCAACTTAGCAATTTAGTCACTGTGTCAACGAATATAACCTTGCTGACAGGAGTGATGAGCTTTGGAAACAGAAACAATGATGTAGAGTTTTAATTCAAATACGTGACCCCAATTCCTATTTCTTATATTAATAAATTCACTAGAGATATAACCCACTGGGTCTGAGCTATACAGAGCTGGTCTCTATTTCTGAATTTGTTGACATACTTAAATTCTTTGTCTCTGACCTCTCTTCTGTGTTCACCCTACTCTCACCCCAAATTAGGATTTCTAGGAGGAGTCTGAGCAATTAGCTTTTGGGTTTTTTAACCAGGCTTGGAGTTAAGGTAACTTCTATCTCACTTCTATCATTTTGTGGATGCCTCTCTGATATCTACAGATCTATACTGAAGAACTATTCTATTGCGTTCCATTTTGCTGCCTCTTCTGTTTTTCATTTTTTGGTCTGAGGTTCAAACATGGTATCTGATGCTTTTGCTGATGCTCCACCACCTGAGCCATGCCTCCAACCCCTATTTTGCTTCTTTTATATACATTCAATTCCTTATGCAAAATTAAAAAATGAGGAATGGGGGAGAATGAAAGGGGCTAAGAGAATAATAGAGGGAGCAGACTTGTTCAAAACACACCGTATGCATCTATGGAATTATCACAATAAAACTCCCTGAAGAAAGCACACAGGTCACTTAGCGTTACACATATTTACCTAGCTGTGTCTCAGAATCATCTAAGAAGGCTTAACCAGCTCCTCCCAGAAATACACTCGAAAGAATCTATTCTATAGGGTCTGGGCAGAGCTTAGGAAACTGATTTTCAAACACTCCTTATGCAATCCAGATGTGGTGCCAGGTTTGGAAAGCTCTAGCCTAAACACTCTCCATACATGACAACCATTCATTACCAGCCATTCACTAAGCGCTTACTGAATACTTCCTAGGAGTGATATACTCCAAAGAGAATTACCCCACAACTATTCTACAGTTTTCATGTCCATAGAAGCTGTTTCCTCACAGCCTCCACCTGCTGACGATTTAGCCAAAATGTGCTCTCTCAAATGTAACCGCTGAAATGTCCAAAGAAGAATTCACTTTATCTACAGTCTCTCTTTACACCATACTCATGACTTCACTTCCAACAATTCTGTCCTTCCCATCAGCCTAGAGATTTTATTCTATACTACACCACTCACCAGAATCCTGTTAAAGTTATTTTTAATAACTATATAACTCATCCGTGCTCGGGCCATGCTAATATTATCCTACTTGTGTCTGACTCCAAAGCTGATGTCGCACATATCCTCCTCAACATGCACACTTGAGTCTCCATGCTGTAGAATGTAGTGCTAAAACACTGACCATTTTCTCCTTAATCTCCTTCCTCTAAGTTTTAGCTAAGGTTTCTATTCTTTCCATTGTAGTCTCTGGAATTTATTTATCAAAACACACATTTAGCCTCATTTATATCAAAGGAACGTGGATATACATGAGGGACTTGTAATAGAGTAATATTTCACATTGGTAATTTCCCCATATCAGGCCCTTCTTTTCTCTCCACGTCAATGGACAAATGAGTGAAAAGGAAATGATTACACCTTTCTTGGACACTCTTTTCTGTGTTTAAATACTGAGATGAGGATGAGTGCTACTGTATTTCAGTTCACGAGTGTGGTAAGAAAATGTTGGCAGGGAATATGAGTGTGCTCACAGAGAGGCCAACTTAAGGTGCTAATATTCTGGAGGAGGAAGAAGGCTATACACTTCTGTGACTGGCTGGCACCACAAGGAACATCAATGTCTGTCACGGATATTGAATGATAATATCAAAGACACATTCAAATATTGACTAATTGCTGGCCTGTTAATGTTTAACAACACCTATCTCTACAATGGTCATTGATTTTCTGCATGGTTTCTCTTTTTTTTTATGACTGGTGCTAAATTAAGGTGGGGGAGAAAACTGGACTGGCATAAAACAAATAGCCTGCTCTACTCTTAAAATTTTGGTAAGCCCTGGAATCCTTTGTTCTATTTCTTAAAACCTAGTGTGATTTAAAGAGAAGTTATGGTGCATAAGAAGAGTTCAGCTGCTTGGTATTGTAAAAACTTGGAATTAATGAATACTGAACAGCAAATGTTACAAGTTTTTTTAAAAAAATTATTGTAATAAAAGGATTAAATAAATGGGACTTAGAATGACAAACTAAAATAGCTTAATTTTTTAAAAGCCAGCGAAAAATGTCTACAACGCATGGAAAAAGAAAGGCTGCTTGATGTTCATAAGTCAACAAGAAACACCGGTGCAAATTTCCAAGAGGTACAAAGAGCAGAACCATTCAATAACCAATCACAAAGTGTCTTCTCTTGTCAGCACTTGATCATTTACCTTTTCTCATTTTTTCTGCTTGTTCTTTCCATTGCTTAACTTCGTTTTCATTAACCAACCTATAAAACAGTACAAGGAGATCTCATTACAAAAACCAACAACCATGAAAAGCCCACTGCTAGATGCATGCTTGAAGCCCATTTAAACCCGTGTTACTTAGATATATTGCATGTGCTTTTATAGAAACTCATATATGTCCAGTAGAACATGTCAGTTCTTCCAGATGTTACTTTGAAGTAGTATAAAATATCTTACATGATCATTTTTCATAGGTAATGAAAAAAGAAGAGACTTACATTCGTACAACATTCTTAATATTAAAGTTCTCCAAGGGTGTAGAGTCAGGGTCTTGTCCTTTGTCATTTTGGATAACTATTTGCTGCACGATTCTATCCAGCAGTAGCCAGTACTGAACAGTGTTCCCGCTCCTCTTATCTAAAAAGAAAAGGAATGGCAGAAAAAAGAATCTTCAAGTTCTTTGCAAACTTTTCAACAGTAGTCACCCTTTAAAGCCACAGAACCCAAGAAATGTTTGTCATCTGTACCAATCCAAATCCACTTGAATTTTGACACATGATGATCAGTTTTTTGTTTGAGGGGCATTTTTTCAGCTCTTTCTAAATGCATTGTAAGGCATGTGTTTATTTTTCAAATCAAAGTGAATTAGCTGAGACTTGGGATCCATGATGTGAATCCAATCTAGTCATGCCGTTCCAAAGACAGAGCCCTTCGGAACAATGTTCAAACACTCAGCCACACCTGTGTAGGGCACACTCACAAGGCATCTGGAGGCAGTGGTGCAGGATGGACATAAAGTGAGGGTAAGCTTCACTGTGAGTCAGCCTCTTCCTGGTCAGCTCAAACATCTGAGTTGCGCTTTTTGTGTCTATGTGAACCTATTTTACAGAAAACACAAATCTAAGTCCAACATCCAAGTTCCTAAATTCCCCAATGGAAGGAGGGGAAATCCAAGGCAAACAGAAACTAATCCTGCCACTTAGGTAACAAAACAGAACTTTGACTTCACTCATGGGTTACATTGGTCCATGTCAACTCTCTAATACACATTTCCAGAGGAAAATCTATGAACTAATGCATCAAGTCAGAATAATTGTGAGAATACATACCAGTTCAAATCTTTTGGCAAATTCTAGTTCATCTTCATTTCGGAGCATTTCAAAAAAATCTAAATGTCTAAAAGGTAATTGAAGAAAAGTTACCAAAAGCAAAATATCCTACAAACAAAATACATGAGATTTGGGACATTAACATGGACTTTCTTGACTATTTAGAGATAGCTCTAAAAGAAACCAGGTAACAGAATCAAACACCTTGTTTAACTATCTTCTTTCTAAAGAAAAAAAATACCATCTGTGTTAACAAGCCCATATAACCACACTTGACTTGCAATTCCATTAAAGATCATGAAAGAAATGACCATGTCATTCATTTATTCATTCAAGTGTTTATTAACCACCTACTATGCATGCATTCTACAGTCTAGGGATGATACAGTTCTATGAAGTCAAGTGTAGCAGGGTAAAGGGAAGGAGAGTGAATCTCATAGTAATGGAACAGCCTCTCTGCAGGGAATAAGGACACAAGCAATCTGGACATCTGTGAAAGATCATTTGATGTTGAGGAAATAGTAAGTGCCTAGGCTTGTAGGTCCCAAAACAGAAGACCATGCTGAGTTCGTGAATGAGGGAGAAGGGTGGGAGGGGGACATAGACAGGCCTAACGCTAAACCCATGTTAAGTTCTCTATACAACACTTTGTTTCCTTCATCAGCAAAGTTCTTACAATAAGAACATAATTAGCTGAATTAACATGCTGATGTTAGCTCTTTAGGTTATAGATATGTTAAGGCTGACATGTGATATGGTGTGCACTACACAAATGGAAAAACAGCACAGACTATCTCAAATTGATAGCAATCTTACTTACCTATCTAATGTTGAATTTTCATGTTCCCGTAATTTGTCTATAACAGGTTGGATTCCTAACATTAGAAATTCATAGCGAAGATGAAGTCTAAAGTCCAAACTCTCCTGAAAATGAAAGGATAATAAAAGATGTATTCCTGTTTTTCATTTCTCCTTCCACCTCCCTCTCTTTTTGTGGTGGTGGGAACTGAACCCAGGGCTTCATGAATGCTAGACATACTAGCTATATCCCTAACTTTTTTGTTTTTGAGACAGAATCTCACTAACATTGACTTAGCTACCCTTGAACTCACTATCCTTCTTGGTTCTACCTCTCAAGTAGTTGGATTATAGGCAGGGACTACTGGGCCCATGTTAAAAGTATTTTTAATGACACATTTTTTGAAACTGGAGTTTTCTTACCACTCCTGCGCCTTGGCTTAGCACTGCATTGATGAAGGACATGATGGCAGTCTTGAGACTCACTTCATCTCGGTATCGTCCAGTGCTTTTGTCCAAGTCATTAATTAATGTCTGTCAGAGAAACAAATATAAAAACAAAGGACAAATCAGGACTAATCTTTTTTTTTTTTTTTTGGCCAGTCCTGGGGCTTGAAGTCAGAGCCTGGGCACTGTCCCTGAGCTTCTTTTGCTCAAGGCTAGCACTCTACCACTTGAGCCACAGCGCTACTTCTGCCTTTTTCCATTTATGTGGTACTGAGGAATCGAACCCAGGGCTTTGTGCATACTAGGCAAGCACTCTACCTCTAAGCCACATCCCCAGCCCATAATGACTAATCTTATATTCATCTTACATTTTTATAATTGGAAATTAACTTTTAAAATCTTGTGATTAGGCAAAAATTATATTGATCCATGGAAAGTCACCTTTTTTCTTTTTATTAGTACTAAAAATCTCTATTTTTAAGGTTCTTACATCATTTTATATGCATGTTTATATATACATGTATACAAAATATAAAAGATTTTTGCTTTGTTTCTTCTGCTTACTTGTTGCATTTGAGCAAAAATATAGTGGCATCATCTCAGTTTTCGTATTGATCCTAACTCAAGAATGGCAACCTGTAAAATTTTCAGGGAACACTCCATTTAGTGAATTCTACAGACATTCTATCTAACATACAAGATGCAGGACTACATTTGTGAGCTTGTAAATCTAAGGCCCTGCATTGACCAATTATAGAAAGCATATTCTATTTTTAAAAATTTATTTATTTTTCCTTTGCCAGTCCTGGGGTTTGAATTGAGGACCTGGGTGCTGTCCCTGATTTTTTTGTGCTCAAGGATAGTGTTCTACTATTTGAACCACAGTTCCACTTCCAGCTTTTTAGATAGTTAATTGTACATAAGAATCTCATGGACTCTCCTGTCGATGCTGTCCTTGAAATGAACCCTCAGATCTCAGCCTTCTGAGTAGCCAGGATTACAGGTGTGAGATACCAACTCCAAGCACCTATTTTCTGGTTTTTACACTTAAGAGCAAGGGAATGTTGGAAGTCACAGTGTGAAATCTCAAGTGATATGCTGGAAATGGCACCTGCTTATCCAATGTCAAGGGTGGGGTGAGTAGAGAAGGTGAGGGAGTGCCCACCTGGAACCGAGTTCTCTCGCTGGCATATTTCTGGTAGTGCAGCATGGCCTGCAGAACTTTCTTGTGGCCCCCGGGAACCAGGCACACGGCGCCCAAGATTTCCAGCACGGCCACCTTCGTTTTAATGTTCTCTGTGCTCAGACTCTGAGCAATTACATTAATACTCTCAGAATGAGCCAGGACGTGAGCCCGGCCTTGAGAGTTGTTCATTAGTGCCTTTATACAACCAATAAGAGAGGTATGTATTCGAGACTCAGAGGTCTCATAGTCCATAGTCTTCAGAAAGTTAAGAATACATGACAGGCCATCCAAGTCGATGAATCTGGTTACAAACCTGTCAAGAAGAGAAATGCATCCAATTTAGAAAAGTCTGAAGGGCAGGACAAGGGAAGACTTAGTTCCCGAAGTACAAGGCTTACACTGATGAAGTCTTTATGGTCATTGACTCGTCCATGACACAGACCTAATGGTCAGTCCTATAAAGAAATCTCCACTTGAGATAAACATCTCAACTGATACAACCAACTGATACTAACAGATCATATATTCATAAAGGCCAGGAACAAAAAGACATTCAAAATACTTATCTTAGGGCAAAGTCATCTGCCAGTGTGAGTTATAGTAGCACCCAGTTGCTATGTACTTCTGGGTTGGCCACTGACCCTTGCCCCCACCAAGAGAAGTCAAAGAGCATCCTTCAATTTTAGGATTTGTTCATAAAATGATTATCCAAGGTTTCACAGTGAAACCCTTCCTTTTTTTTAATGGTGTGTTAATGGAATCCCAATATATAAAAGACAAAAGCAATACTTTTTGTTAATATTTATAATGCTTATCATAAAGTCACTGAGATTCATGAACAATGCACAGGTGCATGCCAAAACCTATGTAAAGAGATGATATGAGCTGTCTATCTGACTAAGCCAGTGACTGCCAAATTTATTTTCTATTGATCATTAGCATTTGAGTGTAGAACATACTATAAAACACAGTTCTAATTAGCATAAGCTAAAAGTATTCTTTTCAACTGTACTATATTTTTTGATAATCCAATATATTTTTCCTTAACTATTTATTTATTTAGTCTGTTGTGGGGCTTGAACTCGAGACCTAGGCACTGTCCCAGAGCTCTTTTCCTCAAGGCTAGTGCTCTATCACTTGAAGGAACAGCTTCACTTGTGTTTTTTGAGTGGTTAATTGGTGTTAAGAGTCTCACAGGGACTTTTCTGTCCTGGGTTGGTTTTGAACCACAATCTTCAGACCTCAGCTCTGAGCAGTAAAGATTATAGGCACCTTTTAATCAAAGAATCATTATTATTAATCTGAATCATTCCACTTAATCATAAGATTCAGATGTATCCAAACAGAGGAGTCACTGTTGCCTAAACAAGACTGTCCTTTCATTTAAAAAAAAAAATTGCCCTTTTATTTTTAATAAATCTTATTGACATACAATCCAATTGTGATGAAATTCATCATTTCAATCAGTGCTCAAACTATTTAATCAATCAATTATGTGACTATGCCACTTTTTATCCATTCATCATTGGATGGACATGGGTTATTTCTACTTTTTCAACTGTTTTGGAACAATGCTGAGATGAACATTTGTATACCCGTTTCTTTGAGGGGCATGTCATCAATATAATATCCTTGGGTAAATTTATTCCTTGGCTATATAACTAGGAGTAAACTGTTGGTAGGCCACAAGACAATACTATGCTTAACATTCTGAGAAGCTGCCCAAATATTTTTCAAAATGGTGGCACCATTTTCCAATCCTAAGAGCAATGCAGAAGGATCTCAATGTTTCCACGGTCTTGCTGTCTCTCATGCTGGTTATCCTAGTGGCTGCCAGCATGTCTTAGTTGAAAATAATCAATACATTAGGTGTTTAATGACCAAAAGTAGCTTAATCATGGCTCAGCTGCATGTTTTAAATTGAAAATGTCTGGGGAAGGTTTGACAATGACAGGAAAAAAAAAAAGTATAGAAGAAAAAGAAAGATGCTACCCAGGGAGAAATTACCTCATTGGCTTTGTTCTTAGTGCTGTTTTTAGACTCTCTATAGTTTTACTTCTTTCTTCTTCTTCTTCTTTCTCTAGAGCCAGCAGAGATTTTCTCTATACAAAGAAAACAGAAGTTTTATGTCTTCAAATTCTTTTTCTAGCTGTGCTGAGATTTGAATTCAGGCAGGGCTGCTGAGGTTGGAGCCAGCTCTTCAGCCCCTTTATGCATTAGTTATTTTCCAGATACGGTTTCACATTTTTGCCCAGGGTTGTCTTCAGTCATGGTATGTAGCAACATGCCTGACCTCTACTTCAAGTTCTATTTTTAAATTATTGAATAAGGCAAGCCCACAGATTGCATGCTATTTTAACTTTAAATAGAAATAATCAATAAACCTATGGGATTAAGATTTACTAAAAGTAAAAACATAAAGCAATATCATCAAGAATTCTATAAAATTATTTGTCTCTAAGCCAAGCCTTTCAAATTTTAAATACTAGGAAATGTCTAGAAATTTTAGTTGAGATTATGTTGCTAAAATTTTCATATAACTATTCTATTACTAGACCTTGATGTAGATATTACTATCTACATTTAATGTGAGTTGAGAAAAACATTCTGACAAATGAACACTATCAAAGGAAAACAGCAGCAATTTTCCCACGCTATTTCTCTCATTTCTCAGTTAAAAAGTATAATTGAGATCAAAGGGATTATATTATATCAAATTATGTTTTAAGAGGAACACTTAAATTGGTCCTGATACTAAGAGGGATAATTCTTTCAGAAGTGATTCAACATGATCTAGAAATCATGGAACATGATGAGTATGTGTGCGCGTGCGTATGTGTGTGTTATGTGTGGGTTTTTCTTACCCAGGAAGAAGCTAGAGCAGTGCTTCTCAAGACTTTACTGTGGATATGAAAAACAGCTGGGGATCTTGTTGAAATGCAGGCTCTGGTGTGGGGAGTCTGAGATGAGGCCAGAGACACTGCACTGAAATCTCCTAGGTAATATGCTGCTGCAGGAACAAGGCTCTAAGTAAGCACATTTCCACTGATCATAATAATAATGTAATATAAAGTTATGAATGTAATACAGTCTTTTCACCCATCTCACTCCATGATCACCTCCTTGTACTAAAGTGTTCCCAGTCTTATATCAGGAGCCTATATCCTTGGAGCTAATGGTCCTTTCTTTTATCATATTCTAAGTCATGTTTGTTTACTCTCTTTCAATTTATTAGCTATCCAGTCTGGTTTTAAGGCATGGGTGGAAAACAGACAGTGGTGACTACATAGAAAAAGAAAAGCTAGATTCTTAAACATCAGCTTCTATGGTCAAGTTTCTCCCTTTGTTTCAAAACCACAATGATCAAAAGAAGGTTTTCTTTAAATAACATCAGCATGAAGTAACTAAATGTTAATTAAAACTTAAATATAACTTCACAATGCAAGGCAAAGCCCAAAGCAAATGAATGCATCAGTAGGATCATGTAGAGCAACCAAAATAAAAACGAGTCGAGTCTTTTTTTTTTTTTCCAAACTTGTTTTTGTTTCTTCTAAAGCTGTCTCTCTTGCTGGTGATGTGTCTAGACAGCTGTCACCCGAGGACAGTAGGGGAAGAGGCTGTGTAGGCTGTGTGCAGAAATAGTTACTAATTCCTCCACAATGCTGAGATTCATCCTCTGGAAAATTCAGCACAACTCCAGCCAGTGATGTCTAATTTCCAATGGCACAGCTGAACATAGGAGTTTTAACCAATCACATTGAATCTGTAGTACAGGATCAGGCCTTTCATAAACATCACTCTTTGTTCCTAGGCTTAATCTTATATAATAATCCCTAAATTAAAGATTACATTTTTTTATTTACTGTGAGTCACTAACAGACATAGGGGTATTTATCCTTGTAGCAATCCTAGAGAAGACAGAATATCTGAATAATAGCAGAGTATATTAAGTCCCATACTTAATGAATCTCATGGGAGATTCATGAAATGCCACAAAAAAATTGAATCCGAACATCCTTATCTAATATAAGGGCCATTACCTTTCCACTCAAAATAGAAGAGACCATGACCTTGTCTGTATGTGATATGATTAGATTTGGAGCTAAAATTGCATTTATTGCTTGAAGAAAACTGAGAATATGTAGGGTAGATGAACCTAAAATCAAATAATTTACATAAGGTCTCAAGTTTTCAAGTTCTAAAACCTAAGAAGAAGTAGGGAGAAATGCCTACATTTCTGAAGATAATCTCTATGCCAAGCAAGTAGTATGTACCTTGGCATATACAGAACAGGCCTTTTGAAGACAACTCTCGGATGTTCATACGAGAAGTGGGTAAAAGATGAAACACAAATCATCAGAGGGTCTTCTAGTCAAAGCCACTAAACATATACACTGGAACATGAATGGGGCACAGAAATCACTCCTGGCTACCTGAACTAAACTCCCATTTGAAACATTTCCTTGGTGTGAAATGGATAAGCCAGGCCATTAACCACACTGAATAAAGTTCACCTCACACCCTCTCCTTGAGAAAGCACAGAAATGCTGTGATGGTGAAGCTGTTAGACTGCCCTCCATCATTATAGTGTCTTTCACTCTCTAAAAGCCAACAGATCACTCAGGGGTCCTTTCGGGAACAAAGAATTCTTGTTATGAGGCTTGCATAAAGTAACAACACTTGTTCCACAAACGACTGGCTTCACAGACCAGTAAGAGCAATGCTTCTGGCCTGTTTATCAGACTCTTGAGGCATTAAAGGAAACAGATGCCTGCCTTCCCTCAGAACAATCCATGGCGTCAGCTTGTGGGGAGAGGAATAGGGTTGCTAGGCCTCTTTCATGTGCGAAGGGCTTGTAAAAACCAAGTGACTGAGAGGCAAATTGGAAGTGGGCTTTGGCTCTGATGGACAGGTTTAAACTTTGTAATTAGATGACCACTTTCTAATTAGCTGGCCTTGGGCAAAGTAACCTTTTTAAAATAAATAAATAGCACCTTCAGCTTTGGTGTTGGTAAGGATTTGAAACAACATGTAAACTGCCCATTGTACTACCTGTCATGTGAGGCACACTCAGTAAGAAGAAACTGACAGTAACAGAGCCTCTTCAATAATTTCTTTTCTTTTTTTGTTTGGTAGTGGGGCTTGAACTCTGGGCTTGGGTGCTGTCCTTCAGCTCTTCAGCTCAAGTCAAGCACGCTACTGCTTGAGCCACACCACCACTTCCAGTTTTCTAGTGGTTTATTGGAGATAAGAGTCTCACAGAGTTTCCTACCCGGGCTGGCTTTGAACCTCCATCCTCAGATCTCAGCCTCCTGAGTAGCTATGATTACAAGCTTGAGCCACCAGCGCCCGGCCTAACAATTAGCCAACAATATTTTTGTTGTTGTTTTTTGTCTTTTGTTGGTGTGGGGGGTGGGGGGAGTCTTGAACTCTGGGCTGGGGCCAGTCCCCATGCTCTTCAGCTCAAGGTGAGCGCACTACCACTTGAGCCACAGCACCACTTCCTTCAACAATTTCTTAAAGAGCATCAAAGAGCCTAGCTGCTGGGCCAGGAAAGGATCTTAAAGAACTGAACACCTTTCCCTTCCCTAGGGACAAAGTGTCAGGGGTTTCTGCTATGTGCTGAGGGGAATTCTCTCCAGTGTAGATGTCAGTGAGATTAGCCAGAAATGTGTGCGAAGGTGGTAAGAAAAACAGAAAACCTGAAAAGGTTTCTGGTGGCATCAGGTATCCTTGGTTTCTTTATAAGTAAACAGGGGTTCTGAGGCCTGTCTAATTCACAGTTAATGTTCTTTATCTTTGACCCTGAAAGATATCAACTCAGTCCTAAAAAAAGAGCATTAGGAGGTTTTGTTAGGTGTTTGACACATAAAGGACAGCAAAAATCATACAATTTAACAGCACTGGATGGCCTGGAGAAGGATTTTAGATTAGGAGCCAAAGATAATTAAAATGTAGAACATTCAAGAATGTATCAGAGTTGTCTAGCCAGTAGAAGGGAGGATCTTGAAGAAGGGCCACAATGGCATATCACAGATCCTGTATGTCAGGAATGAGCCAAGTCCATTCCAGATAAGGTAGAGATTAAGGCACTAAAAGACAAATTAATATAAGTATTCTAATATTTAAAGAAAGAAAAACCCATAATACATTGGACTTCTCTGTTTATAGCAGGGAATTTAACAAAGAAACTTCTTGTTAGACATCAAACAAGGCTGACTTAATTACCAAAAAAGGCAGTGTACCTCACAATTCTTTTATTACTAATAGGAATACAAATTCACAAAATAGCTCTGACTACAAGAAATGTTAAATGGCTCCAACTTATTATTGTGTGGGTATATATACAGAAAAATCTTTGGTGATCCTCACAAATCTTACATTCATATAAATGCTGAGAACACCCTTTTTTCATCCTCGGCATTGTGTATGCTATATTGAATAAATAAAGTTTGGTGGTTGTTTTCTGTCCTTTTATTGTTTTTAGACTAAAAATCCTTGAGGCAAAAGCTCACACAATAATTTATATAGCCCTCTTCATGTTTGTCTGGCTGCGTAACAGCAGAAGAAGTATCTTCAAGGAAAATTATAGAAGTTACAAAAAGTCAAGGCATCTCAGAGTTTAGCAAAAGTGTCAATGAGTTACATGGTCTAATATGTTTTTAATTTTCAGTGCTAGCAAAATACTAGACAATTCAAAATATTTGCTTTAAGTGGTAAAAGGTTTAATTTTCCCTAAGAATTCTGGAGAAGGAATGAGAGATAGAGAGATAGAAAGAAGTACTATGGAAGCATCTGCTTGACTTGAATGTTAAAAACTCAAAGTTGAATATAACAGATTGGCTCTTACATCATGAGTCTGGTCCACTAAAGCAAAGATTTGGTAGCTTTCTTTTTTTCTTTTTTTAAATCAACACTAACAGGATTTAAGCTTCTTCTTCTTGCTGTGAATTTCAATTGTGATCCATAGAGGTCCTGCTAACTGCTTGCAATGATAACATCATAGAGGTATCTTGTGATCAGGATTCACAGTTCAGAGAATACACTTCACATGTTAACTGAACCAAAAAGCCATCTACCAAAGTTTTGCCAAGGACATGTGGGCACTATTCTTATGCCTTTTCATTAAACCACTTACTTCCTCCATGGATTCCTTACCTATTTTAAGAAGAGAGAGCATTTTTGGCCTCTTATTTTAAAAATAAAAATCAATAAGCCAGCAAGAATCTAAGTTTCCAGTAATAGAGTGAATAGGATGAATATAATAAAAGAATAATTAAAATGTTAGTTAAAAATGGTTTAAACTATTTTTAAATGGTATTAACTTTTAGGATAGTGTTGCAGAACTCTAAATGACCAGTTATAGCAAGTTGATTACAAGCCAGGTTTCAGATTATGTTTCTTCTTACACCACTAAAGCCAATTATATCTTAGTTTGTATCAACTTTATTTTAAACATAGAAGAAATATCATTTGCCCTCTTATTTGCCCCTCTCTCAACACAGGGAGTGATTGGAATAGGGCTTGGAAAGGTGGTATTTGGTTAAGTATTCCTTATTGTGCAACTGTGTTCTTTGTTACTGGATTTTAAACTGTATGTCATAGAATATAAATTATACCTACAGCAGCCATGGAATTGAGCTGATCAATGTAGAACTCAGGCCAACTTGTTGCTCCCTTGTTTTCTTCCTGGTCCTATAAGAGAAAGAAAAGGAAAAAAAATGACACCTTGCCAAAGGTCCAGATGCAGCAGAATATCTGACTTTTGGAGCAGCCGGACAGTGGCCTGCATAAACCACTAGGAGACATTAAGAAGGAGATGTTTATTTTTAAATGTTGGCTTTAAAATACTGGATCTTCCACTTAGCTTGGAGGGTCTCCCCCCGTCCAATCTCCACAGAACATGCTGAAGTCTCAGTTGTGAAAACTACCTCATGGTGTTGTTTTGTTTGTTTCATTTGTTTTTCTTGTAGAGATATAATGTTGAGAAGGACACAATGCTATGTCACACTGCGGATGGTCGCTGCTGTACAAATCTAGATGGAATTCATGAGAGAAGGAAGCCTGTCTTAAAGCTGACAAAGGATTCAGACTGTTAACCAGACTTTTTCAGTTTACTCAGACTCCAGAAGATAGTAAAAAATTTTGAAGTAGTATTTCATTTGATCTGGCCAAAACGAAGGAAGAATAAAAACATTCTGCTATTTTGCTTGGTTTTGGTCGAAAATGTAGTGTATCTGAACTGAGGAACTGATACCGAAGAAATTCAGAAAAACATTCCTGACCTTATCTTGATTTCTAAAAACCAGGGCATCTGTGGATGGAGATCTGTGTCAGCCTAAATTCAAACATAAGAAAGAAAGAAAAAAGAGGAAAGAAGAGAAAAAAAGAAATGGAGGAGAGGAGAGAGGGGAAAAGAGAGGGAGGAGAAATAGAGGAAGGGAGGGAAGGAGGAAGGAAGGAAGGAAGGAAGGAAGGAAGGAAGGAAGGAAGGAAGGAAGGAAGGAAGGAAGGAAGGAAAATCCCATTGGCTATAGTCCCTAATGCACCAAAGCACTGAGCTTATCAAAGATAGCTGCTGTAGTTAGGGATTTCTCTTCATTTTTATACACCTATGTGGTTACTAGTCATTTCTGTGATCAAACAGGGCCCAAAAAGAAAGTTTCGGCTGCTGTCTAGCTTCATATTGGAGAAGACGCTGGATCATCGGCATACAGCTGCTGCAGCTCATAGGTGAATTCTCTTCATTGGTAGGAAATTGGATCTTTCAGTTTTATTTGTATATATCAACCAAACACTCTAAGCAAAGCTTTCTAAGCATGTCTACCCCAATGCTATAAAAGAACTATAATTTCAAAACTACTTTTTAACTAGTCATGATAAGGGGGCAAAATAACCTGTCACTTATGAGGCCTTCAAAGCTGGCAGCAATGGACGTCTGAACTCAGGCAGTTGTGTGAAGTTCATCTGGAGATGGTACGAGCCAGATGATGGGGACAAAGGTTACACAGTGGTGGCTTTGAAGTTGGACTGGATTACACTTCCATCATGTTAAAAAGTTTAGGAAATCTGATGAGTTCTTAGAACCGCCTTTGATTATAATTTAGCATGTTAATAAAATAGCTATGGTGGTAGTATAAATGCTGAACCCTGCTTTCCTCTTAAAAGGGAGCATTAAAATTAGCAAAATCCTGCTGTTACCAATGTATTTAACAAGCCAAAAACCCACAGTGATATTCAATGGTATTTGAACCTATAAAATGAAATAGAAGGTGCCAGATCTTTCTATTCTCCCCAAGCCAGGGCAAAATTCCAAAACAAACAAAATCAAGTCCCATGTCCAAGATCCTACAAGAGCCTGTCTGTTGAAAGCTTAATGTCCTGGTTACTGAACAGAGATCATTTGAGAAACTGAAGACTAGTACACAGAGAACAAACTTTACACTTTGGAAATGCTTTATGAATGCAAACAGATCAGGAATAGATACTTTCTAGTCAAAATGAGAGAAAGAAAACAACTTTAAAAAAAATGTTCACATGCCTGGGCTGAGAAAATCAAACACATTGAAGCGTGTGAAAGCTTCTTGCTGTCCTAGTTGTTATCACTCCGTTACTAGGAGACAGGGGATCCTCACAGTTCTTCATTTTGACAATAGCATCTCTAGCAGACCCTGTGCAGTCCTGAACCTCCCATACAGATGTGTGCTGTGCTAGCCAAGTCAAACTCACATCTTTGAGCCAACTCTTTTGCTTTTGTGTGGCTGCTAGAGTCTGCAATTCTGCAGAGGTGCAGACCAGAAAGAAAGAAATGAACCACTGTGTGTGTGTTGGGGAGGGTGGGGTCCATGAAGAGCACAGGACACTGAAACATGCCAAAGGAGGGACACTTTCTTTAGATGCATAATCTTGCAGAGGGTAACTGGGTCATATGTATCAGAAGCCTCTATATTAGTCTTTGAGCCATCCATTCATCTATTTCAGTTCTAGTTCTTTGTCTTAGGGAAGCAAGTGGAAAAAGAATATCCAGGATTGTGGGAATATTTGAATTGTAATGGAAGCATCAGGTTTTACATAGCTTGGTCAAATATGGGTCAAATACCATGCTAAGACTCATACTCTTCTTTTAGTCTACCCTATGAGATAGGTATTGCTATTATACCAGTTTTTTTGTTTTTGTTTTTTTGAAGAACATATAAGCATATATGCTTTATAAGCATATAAAACTTAGACAAATTGCTGATGGTCACACACTGTTGAAAATTCAGAGCCAATGGGACAGAATGAAGGCAACCTCTGTGCTAAGAGTAAAACTCTGTCATAATCACATGCAGTATGTATTAAGTGTGAAGCTGGCTTCCATTCTGAACCACTTCACTGTGAGAGAACTCAAACATGGCTAGTGGCCAAACATGAGTTCACCTTTTCTAAACCCCTTTTGCTATTTTTGTTACATTCAACACTTTACCCCAGGTTACCTCTAATCTCCCCTCTATAGATTCTTTCTTTGCAAGCCTCTTTGCCCCTGTCTTTATACAGCCACACATAGACAGCAGTTAAAAAAGCTTTTGTTCTTGTTAAACACTTCAATCTAAAGGCTAGCCACATAGGGGTTTCACAAGAACACTTGAAAGTTAGCTGTTAGCACTGAGCAGTTCTGGACACTGGAATTGCAAACATACACTTCTAGCTCTATTTTTAGCTACTTTCTTCCAATTCTATTAGAACTTTTCTCTAAGAAAGAATATTGACTTTACTCCCCTCCTTAAGATAGATTTTTAACAGTACTGGGTATATAGCTCAAAAGGTATAATGCTGGACTGGGAAGGTGGCTCAGTGGTAGAATGCTTGCCTCACATTCATGAGGCCCTGGGTTCAGATTCCTCAGCTCCACATACACAGGAAAGGCCAGAAGTGGCGCTGTGGTTCAAGTGCTAGAGTGCTAGCTTAGTGCTGAAGAGCTGAGGGGCAGTGCCCAGGACCAGCGTTCAAGCCCCATGCCTGACCAAAAAAAAAAAAAAAGAAGAAGAAGAAGAAAAAAAGAGAAAAGAATGCTTTCCTAGTAAGCACAAGGTCTTGAGTTTAATCTCCAGTACTAGAAAAGGAAAAACATGAAAGATTGCTGGCAGCTATTGATGACACCTAGAAAAAAATATCTAAGGGAGGTAAGAGATTGTTGGCAGTATTTGATGACATCTAGAATAGATTGTCTCTAGTAAAAGATATTATAGAAAAAGTTGTCTAGTGGTAATATAAATTTTAGCCTTCATGTTAAATGTTCTTTATAGTTTGCCTATAGAATGGATATTCTGTAGTCTATATTAATATTCATATTAAAATCTAGTTTTGCTTCTTCTTGAAAATGTTATATTTATATTTATGAACATATTTTCTCAAGGTCTATCAGATAATTTTACTAAAATAAATATTTTGCTAATTAAATTCTCCACTGACTTTTAACTGTTAAGAAAATTTTCATATACCATTTCTTTTTAAAGAGATGGCATGGTGGAAAGATTACCTATTAGAGAATTCCAGAAGATATAATTCCAGTATGTAGTTTTTGATCAATTCAGTTGATATAAGTTATATGTACCTTTGGGATCTTTTTTTTCTCTCCAAAACAAAAGGGTTAGATCAGACTATTTCTTTTTAACAAGCCTTAAGATTCTATGTAACTCCAACTGTGAGATGTCACAGGAAACACTATGACTACTGTACTTAGATGACTCGGTTTCTAAAATTATTACTTTTTATAAACTTATATTGTTCAGCGGTTCAGTCACAACATTATTCATTTTCAACAGTCATGCCAATAGTCTTTCAATTGTCATCCCAATATTCATTATCTTATTGTTTCTCTAATCCAGTTTTTCCTGTTTCCTTTGGAGGTTCACAGCCATCTATAACAGAATATTCATGGACAAAACTTTCTGCTGGGTGAAATTTACCTCTGATACTTTTCTCTGCTTCCAATTTTAACTTCTTTTTCCCTATTACCCAAAGTTAAGTGGGTGCTCTTACTAACAAAAGGAACTATGAACCAGGCACTGGTGGCTCATGCCTGTAATCCTACCTACACAGGAGGCTGACATCTGAGGATTGTTATTCAAAGCCAGCCTGGGTGGGAAAATCCATGAGACTCTTATCTCCAATAAACAACCAGAAAACTGGAAGTGCAGTCTGTGGCTCAAGTGGTAGCGCACTTGGATTAAGCTGAAGAGCTCAGGGACAGCACCCAGGCCTGGAGTTCAAGCCCCTCAGAATAGGAACTTGGTTTTTAATTTTTGTGGTATTTTTTTTAACCATCCACAATAATTTAGAAGGTAAAGAAACAGTCTTTTGAACCTCACTTTACCTCCAAATGGCACATTTTTTTCATTCTAAACCTCTGGTCAATGATCAGTAAAAATTCCCAAGAAATTCTCCTTTAAAAAATTACACAAAGGTGCATTTGCTTTTCCCAAGACCACTTTGCTCATAAGGATCAGTTATGCATTGTTTCTTACTTTTCATTCATTCCCACTGGGACAAACATCACAATTCTATCTTGTATTTTGATCTCTTGCTTTAGTGTCATATCTATTACCTCAAATTGACCATTCTGCTTTTCTCACAATTAACAGACATTCACTGCAATCACCAGTCACTTACTAGCTATGTGACTTTTAGGTAAGTAATTACATAGTTACTTTGTG